CACACGATTGTAAGCAAACTCCGCATGAGGAAGCATCTCTTCCCATTGCTTGGGACGTTTAGTAGCCAAAGACCGCAGCAAGGATCCCAAAGTTCTATTAGTCACTTCGGTTTGACCATCTGTTTGAGGATGACTTGAAGTGCTAAAGTTCAATTTCGTGCCCATCTTCCTCCATAATGTAAGCCAAAAATGACTTAGAAATTTTGGATCACGATCACTCACCATGGATTTAGGTACACCATGTAAACGAACAATCTCATTGAAAAACAAGTTAGCAACATGAGTAGCATCATAAGTTGTATGACAAGCAATAAAATGGGCCATTTTAGAAAATCGATCCACAACAACCATTATAGAATCTTTCTTTCGTTGGGTGGTAGGAAGTCCCACAACGAAATCAAGACTAATATCCTCCCATGGTGCTTGTGGAATAGGTAAGGGCAAAAGATAGCCTTGAGGTAGACTATGACTCTTGGCCTTTTGACATATCACGCATCTTTTCACAATGAACTCCACATCACGGACCAACCTAGGCCAATGAAAGTATTCTTGGACAAGAAGAGTAGTCTTCTCTACGCCAAAGTGTCCCGCCATTCCTCCTTCATGAAACTCTTTGATAAGAGATTCTCTTAGGCTTGATCTTGGAATGCACAACCTGTTTCCTTTGAACAAATAGCCATCTAAAATGTAATAATCTTTGTAAGCATGATTAGAACATTTTAAAAACAAATCACCAAAGTCATGATCATTTTGGTAACTTGCTTTTACATCCTCAACACTAATCACCCTTGCTTTGAAAGAATTCAAGAGTGTATATCTCCTTGAAAGCGCATCAGCTCCTTTGTTCATGGCGCCTCTCCTATGCTTGATCACGAAATGAAAAGCTTGCAAATACTCCACCCATTTGGCATGGCGAGGTTGGAGTTTTTGTTGGCTTTGAAGATATTTGAGGGCTTCATGATCTGAATGAAGGATGAACTCCTTGGAAATGAGGTAATGTCTCCAATGGTCCAAAGCACGAACAAGAGCAAAGAACTCCTTATCATAGGTGCTATACTTCCGTTGTGCTTCATTGAGTTTTTCACTAAAGTAGGCAAGGGGACGCCCAACTTGTGACAAAACAGCACCAATACCAACTCCACTAGCATCGCACTCAACTTCAAAAACTTCATCAAAGTTAGGCAAAGCAAGAATAGGTGCACTAGTAAGTTGATGTTTTACCTCATCAAAGGCCTTTTGAGCCTTATCATTCCAAACTAACTTCTGATTTTTAGTTAGTTCCGTGATAGGTGCCATGAGAGTGCTAAAGTTCCGCACAAATCTTCTATAGAAAGAAGCAAGTCCATGAAAGCTTCGAACTTGTTGGACGGTTTGTGGTGTAGGCCACTCACGAATTGCAGCAACTTTCTTTTCATCAACTTCAATGCCTTGTGATGAAACTTTAAAGCCAAGAAAAATAACTTGGGAAGTGAAGAAATGACACTTCTCTAAGTTACCATACAACTTTTCACGTTCAAGGGCTTCAAAAACCTGTTGCAAATGCATAGAATGCTCTTCTTCCTCCCTACTATACACCAAGATATCATCAAAATAAACTACAACAAATTTACCCATGAAAGGTTGCATAACCTGATTCATAAGGCGCATAAATGTAGATGGTGCATTAGACAAACCAAATGGCATCACAAGCCATTCATAGAGGCCCTCCTTTGTCTTGAAAGCGGTTTTCCATTCATCTCCTTCGAAAATTCGAATTTGATGATAGCCACTTCTCAAATCAATTTTAGAGAACACTTTAGAACCATGCAAATCATCAAGTAAATCATTCAACCTTGGAATAGGAAACCGGTACTTGATAGTGATTTTATTGATTGACCTACTATCAACACACATTCTCCATTCTCCATTCTTCTTAGGCACAATCAAAGTAGGACAAGCACATGGACTAAGAGACTTACGAATAAGACCCTTGGATAGTAATTCTTCCACTTGCCTCCTAATCTCTTCGGTTTCTTTTGGGGTGGTTCTATAGGCTGGTTTGTTTGGGAGCATTGATCCGGGAACAAGATCAATTTTGTGTTGTATGTCACGTTTTGGGGGTAAGCCATGGGGAATGTCTTCGGGGAAAACATGGGAAAAGGTTTTGAGAAGAGGGGTGAGGAGTGGGTGTGGCTCTTCTTGTGACGGTTTGGAAGGGGCATCAAGTTGGCTTAAAATGAATTGTTTGTGAGCTTTATACTCATGCAATTCTGATTTTATGAGAGTGGTAAGGGAAGTAGGGGGTGTGGATATGGGGTGACCGTTTTTGAGGTTTAGGGGGGTAAGAAGTATTTTCCGTCCATCCTTAGTGAAGGAATAGGTGTTCTTATACCCATCATGCATCACGCGCCTATCAAACAACCAAGGTCTACCAAGTAAAATATGACATGCATCCATAGGTATAACATCACACCACAATTCTTCTTCATAAGTTTTACCAATGCTAAATGATAACAAGACTTGTTGTGTTACTTGAATCCCTTTACCATGATTTAGCCATTGAATCACATAAGGTTTAGGGTGAGGAACGGTTTTAAGTTTCAGTTTGTCTATCATTACTTGTGAAGCTACATTGGTACAACTACCTCCATCAATAATCAATGTACATACCTTTCCACCAATGGTGCAACGAGTGTGAAAGATTGACTCACGTTGCAAACTTCCTTCTTTGCCAACCATATTGCTTAGTGTGCGTCGAACCACCAAGCATTCTCCTTCGTCTGGTCCAAGACACGCATACTCATCATTCTCCTCAAGGTTGCTGTCCACTTCATTTTCTAATTCATCCTCCTCTTCATGCTCAATCAAAGTGACAATCCTTTTATTTGGACAATCACTAGCCAAATGTCCAAGGCCTTGACACCGAAAACATCTTCTTGGGGCTGGTTTTGGGTTGGAATTTTGGGTGTTTTGTGAAGGTGGTTTAGAAGTAGGCTGATTGGACGTGGGTTTGAAAGGTGGGAAATTGGATGTTTGCTTTTTTTTGGGAAATGAGTTTTGAGATGCAAAACGTGATGATTCACTTTTGCCTCTTGCTTTTTGTTGCTGCTCAATCTTATGTGCTAAGATAATGAGCTCTTCAAGGGTAGAGTAAGGATGTAGTTCGGCCACATTGGCTATTTTTGGGTCAAGCCCTCCCAAAAAGCGCACCAATGTTTGAGGTTCATCTTCCTCTACTCCACATTTCATGACAAACCCTTCAAACTCCCTAGCATATTCTTCTACTGATTTTGTACCTTGTTCGAGGTTGTGGAACTTGGAAAAGTTTTCTTGCACATAGTATGTGGGAAGAAACTTTTGTTTCAGCAACTTCTTCATCTTGATCCACGATCTCACTTTCTCTTTGTCTTGCCTTTCCCTTTTGGCACACACGCTAGCCCACCAAGTTGAGGCATATTTTCTCAACTTCAAGGCTACAATTTTCACCTTCTTTTCTTCCGGTGTTTGCTTGTAATCAAACACTCTCTCCACCGTTCTAAGCCATTCTACAAACTCATCAGCATCGAGTTTGCCATCATACTCCGGAATGTCAGCCTTAATGTCATTGTTAGGCCGTGACCTTTCTCTTTCATGATAAGGTCTATCATTGTGATTGAAATTAGATTCATTCACTTCTTCATCACTATGATTGGGTAAACCCTCTTTTTGATGGCGCAACTTAATAGAAAGGTCTCTTAACTGACCTTGCAAATATTGCATTCGTTGCTCCATATCTTCTTTCTCTTGTGCAACCTTATTGACATATTCTTGCCAATTAGGGGGTGGGATGTCGGCCATGGTTTGTGTTTGGGTATGTGTTTGGGGTATTGTGTTTGGGTATTTGTTTGCTAGACCCCCCTCCTTCTAGCGCCAAATGTTGTATATTTGGAGTAACACTCGAAATACACAAGGGATAAACCAAGGGATAGATAAGGCTAAGGAACCAAAGGCTTCTTAGATAAAGTCACACCACTAAGAAACGTTTGGATTCCTAAGATCACAAGCCAACTAGTAGCCTAAACTAGCTAACTAAGCAAAGGAACGAAATCCTAAATCCAAGAATTTCAGGTTTGTTTCTAATCCAAGAAACGAATGTAAAGACAAAGTTGTTTGTTCGAAATAATCTGATTTTTCATTCACATTTGCTTGCTATTTATAGTGAGCAAACATCTTAAGTACAAGCTGAATTAAGTGGTTTTTAGCTCACTTGTTACACGTCCAAACTAAGTACATATCAGTTTTTTGTAGCCTAGATACATTAATAAAAGAAGCTTTACTTAACTAGATACATCAAGAGCAAATGGCGGTTTGTAACCTCCAAGTTATGAGTGAAATAAAATCAGAAACAAGAGAGTATAACACCCCCTTGATTCACGCCCACAAAGCAGCAGCTTGGAGATGAAACAGCTCCCCTTTTCACGCCCAATTCAAACAGCAAGTGAAGTGTAACTCCTCCTTGTTTCAAGCCTTGAATTAAGCTTGAATGTATGTGGTCAAGGATGTACTTGGACGCCTCTTGAATGTACCAGTTGCTGGCTGAAGTAAACGGCCACTTGAAGACTCAATTGAAAGCTTGTAACTCCTCATTGATGCTGATTGTAACACCCAAGTTAAAGCCTTGAAATTCCTCCAAATTAGTTTCGGAATCTAGGCTTCTTTCCCAAGCTTAAATGGCTGCCTTTGTAATGTATTTTGTACTTGAACTTTATGTGAATGTGACATTACACTTTCGAACCTTAATCAGCTAAAAAGAACTAAAGAAACACAACTAATTTGCAAACTTAAAATAAGACTAAAGTTTACAAGTTATTCAAAGCATAAAAGAACTAAAATAAACTTAGTTAATAAGAACAACAAGATATTCAAGGGGTTGAATATCTTGCTGCCCAAGGATAGAATACATAGCATCAAAACATGATGCTACATCTTGAACCAACGAAATGTCCATAACCAAGTTGTTAGGCTTGGCTACAACACTTGATATATTGGTTTTTATTGAGGTTTTGTGTTAAATGCATCTAGATTATATTAATAAATTTTCAACTTTTTTTTGTTAAAACCTTTTTTTTTTAATTTTAATTTTTGTGTGTGGGTCTTGTTAGTTTTGAAGGCCTTATCATTTCTATTAATTTTGAAGGATGGAAGTGGACTGGGAACCAGATCAGCCTCTAGACGAGCTGTTGCTGCTGCTCAGTGAAAAGGTATGGCAGCTTTTTTAAAAAAAACTTTAACTTTATTATCACATGTTATGTTATAATGCAAAATTAATAAAATTATATTCATAAATAGAATTGGATATGTTTTTTTTTTTGAAACCAGAATTGGATATGTTTGAACTATTATTAATCTTGGGATTATATGATAACAATGATTCCACTAATCTTACTCAAATACATGCCCAGCCTTACTCAAATACATGAGATATACGGCCATTTATATACAAATCACAATATTTGTAATAATTGAGTACTAGTACTCCTAATTAATCTAATCAAATTATATTTCTTTTGTAATATGCGAATTTTTCTTAATACTTCGTAAACTAGAGTAGCCAGCTTTATGAATAGTATTTTAATCATATAAATTTATCATTTATCATAATCTTGGAAATATATGAAAGTAAACATTTGATTGTACAACACCTAGACTTTCTTGTCAATCACTATCATAAATATATAATCACTTGGATTAAGATTTTTAAATATGTGTATCCTTAAGTCCGAATAATTTATAACAACACTAGTAAATGATCATTAAATTGCCGAAGTGGAATTCACATCATTGTAAACACCTTTATCTATTATAATTACATTTTTTTTTTTCCAAAATCTTGGAAATATATGAACATAAATATATATCATTATCCACTAAAATTACTCACTCCTTCTGTCCCTTATTGATAGTCCTTATGGCCATTTTTTAGTCCCAAAATGATACTCCATCTGTCCCCGATTGATAGTCACTTTTGCCATTTTTGATGACTCAAAATGTTAGTCACATTTACTTTTTTCAAGTACCATTAATATTATTTTTTTTACTAAAATTCTCTAATATTTACAAAAATATTTGTGCAAATTGAACTTTTTCCATGTAAATTTTACTTTTCCATATATTTTAATTACTTTATCTCTCTACTTTTTTACATACTCAATGTAAATTTACTTTTTCAATGTATTTTCTTTAATTCTCCTTAATTCCCGTGATTTTTCTTCAAAAAGTGATTATCAATCGGGGACAGAGGGAGTAGTTTTATTTGCTTTTTTCAAGGTACCATTAATAACAATTTTATAGTCCCAAAATGATAGTTTCATTTGAAAATTCAAGTTTCTCATGCAAATCTTGCTTTTTCATATGCTTTTATTACTTTCTCTCTCTATTTTTTTGCATACCTATTACCTTTTTAATTTACTTTTACTAATTTTATTTATGTTTATTAATTCTCGTGAAAATTACCCATAAGGAACTATCAATAACGGACGGAGGGAGTATTTTGAAAATATATGAAAATAAATATTTGGTAGTAAAAAGTTTATCAGACACTAGATTAGATGATGAATCACCATTCACATATGTATTCACACAAGTAAAAATTAGCTGTCTCTATTGTCATGTTTTGACTGATTTCAAGAGTTGCATGAATGCAGGATTTGGGAGCCATAAGAGTGCTTTCTGAAAAGACAAAGGACATAGGAGAGGTAGCGTACAGTATAGCAATAGAAGGACGGGTGACAGCACTGGCTGCGCTGTTGATGGTGGCTGCAGAGAAGGTTAACGGGTCGGTGCTGGAAGTCCGAACCCACACAGATATATTGGCGGAGAAGACAACGGTGTATAGTGGTGTGATCAGGGAAGCTGTATCAATTTATATGGGCAGTAAGGGCAAGCTTAAACTATCAGAAGAAAGCAAGAATGGCTCTTATAGTGGTGAGTTGGAAAGGAGGAAAATACTACTTAGGGAGATGGAGCTGCTCCGTTTCTTTGGGGCTTCTCCTCATAATAGGTGTGTGGACAAAAAAGCCACATCTCCTCTTATAATTGCTTCTAAGGTAACCTTGCTGTCCTCACTAAGTTCATCTCCCCGTTTTCTCTCCCTCGTGGCTTCATCCTCTAATTTTTAAATTTTATTATATCCGTCTTGATATATACTTTCATAATATAAACTTCTTATAATTCTAACTAAAATATAACTTAAGATGTAAAACGTATAAAATTTGCATTGGCAAGCGTGAAATTTGTAACGTTGAGATTATTAAAAACGGATGAAGTATGTGATTTTGGAAGGGCAGTTTGATTTCCTGGTTCATGGTAATGCAATGACATTGTGTATTATTTTGTAAGGAAAATCACATGCCAATATCCATGCAGTGTTAGTGTTAGTCTTCTCCCTGATCGTCTCTTATTTTTTAGTTAAGTAATCATATCCTCCCAATACCACCTTTAAAGATGTTTGGGTTCTAGTTGTATTAAAATCCACGTTGAGCCTTGCTATGCTACTATCTTACAAAATATAGATGGTACTTTGTATATTATTTTTCCATGTAGTGCTATTTTGTGAAGCACTTATCATTCTTTAATCACATATTCTCCATTGGGTTTATCCGGACTACAATAATAAGAGTAGATTTAGTTTCTTCCTTTGACAAAAATAGGCAGGCTACCCAATTAGACAGAGGGTGATCCTTAAGTGTTTTTTTGATACCAATAAGATGAGGCTGCAATCTCAACATGGGATTTCTGTGTACCAAAATTCAGTGATAATAACTGAAATACAAAATTATTAGAACCTAAGAAGATAAGATATGCTGCCAAAGTTAATCAGCAGAACAGTAATTGTTTAGAATGAGACTTGCCTTCCCCCCCCCCCCCCCAAATTTCCTGTGGACTCCTCTCTCATTCTTCTTTCTCTTTTCTTTCTGAAGGCCGGAGATGAAACTGTAATGAAGTTGCTTCTGCAGACAGGCATAAATGTGAGTGAGGCTGATGCAGAAGGTAACTCAGCCCTGCATTGGTCTCTTAAAGCGTCAAAAGTGTCAAGCCCTGAGCATATCAGGTATTTTATATTTCTTAGATACCAGAGATTTTTGCGACTTTCTCAGAAGTTGATCACTGAGATGTGAAAATTTGGATTCTATCTAGAATCTTGGAGCTTCTTCTGAAGCATGGTGCTCGAGTTAGGCAAAAAGATCAGCTGGGATTGACTGCAGTTCACATTGCTTCTGCAAATGGGAACCTTGAAGCTCTTAAGGTACATTAGAAGTGCTTGCTTTATAATGCTAAGATATTCAGACTCAATTTGGTATTTTGATGTATGACTGGTGACTGTATCTTTTCTTTGCAATGGTTATTACAGATCCTGCTAATTCACGATCCTGACAGCGTTTATGTTACATCTGAATTGAAGGAAACTCCTTTGTTTTTAGCTGCAAAAAATGACTTCATAGACTGTGCTCAACTCTTGCTGAGTTATGGAGCAACCACAGACGTCCATAATTTGCGGTTAGCAGTACAAATCTTGCTTCACATTACTCCTTCCTATTCTACTCTTATTATTTCACTGTATATCTTTAGTGATCAATTTGGTGATTTAGCTTGCTTTGTCCTATCTTTGAACTTGAAGCTCATATACTTCCAATTTTTGTAAATCATTGCCAAAAGCTCAGCTAAACTAGATGTTATTGTCTAAGGCTTCTTTCTCCCTTGTTTTATCTGTGAATTTCAGTCGAGAAAGACCTATAGACTTGGCAAAATCACAGGACATGCGCTCTACTTTAACCCGAACCAGTATAGTCATAAGTAAGTTCGCCCTACTTATTTATATTAGGTGTGGCACAAATTGATTCTTACTCAAACATAAGCTAGACTAATCAATAATCGCATTCCTTCCACCGTTTACACAGCCAATAGGGCATCCAAACAGAAATACACAGCATGCATTCACAATGATCAAGTGGTCTCAGAATCCTGTGAAGCGCTTTGGAAGGAAGCATGCTCTACTTCTGAGAGGTATTTAGGTTTGACCTAGGCACCATGTGTAGTAATGTCCTTTTATTATTCCTAGTACTGAACCAAAAATTATGTTTCATGTTTGTGAAATCCAGTGTCGACTCAAGTGCAGATAGTGATATTTGCAAATACTATGCATCACCAACAGGGTGTGCTAGAGGGTCTGCATGCTTCTACCGCCATGGTGAAGGGGACATTGGAAATCCAAAGTCAAAACTTGGCATTGCTCGTTCTACTGTTTTAGCAGAATTCAAGAGAAAGATTTTTGTAGGAGGACTACCACCTAGCTTGGACTCTGGTAAGAAATTTGTGTGATCCATGAAAGACTAACCCTTCAATTTTTCAGTCAATTAAAACATCCTTCTCTATGTTCTGAAATAATTGCCACATTGATATTGTAATTTACACTTTCTGACAACTAATTTGAAAAGGAGATGGCATGTAGTGGTACTCATTTGATCTTATGCTGATTTTGCGAGGCAGAATCATTAGCTGATATTATGGAAGAGCAATTTGGTCCCGTGGCAGATGCCAAAGTATTACAAACGGAAATTGAAGATCAAGTAATGTCCCGGGGTTTTGGCTTTATTACCTTCCACCAAGAGAAATCTGTAGCTGCAGCTTTGGAGGTCCATTATACCTATATCTGGGGCAAGAAAGTTGAAATGAAAAGTGCAGTTCCAAAATGGCTATCATCCCAAGAAGAGCGTGGAGATGAACCTAAGCAAGAGCCAGTGCAACAAGAAAGCAACCAAAACCAGTGTCAAGCTCAAAGCCAAAGTGATCAAAGTTTAGTTGCGGGCATACCTGGGAAGATGTCTTGGGCTGATCGAGTGGGTCAAGAAAAACCAGAAGATTCAAGAAATGAGCTCAAGGTCCACAGACCACAACTTTCTGGCCAAAATATGCCTGGATGGTTTGCTACTTTGAAGAAATGGCTTCCTCAGTTTTTAAGAAAGATGTCAAGGAATTCAGAAGGAGAATTCTATTCCCTGTCATCTTTGAAAGCCGATTTTAAGGCAATATTTGGGCTGGAGCTTGACCATGCCTCTCTTGGATACTCTAAATTGAGTGATTTTATAAAGTCTTACCCTGAATTATGCAGGGTTAAGATTGTCCACACAGGTGGTCAGGTTCCTAATCACATGATCCTCTTGCCTAATGTGGCCCGACCTCCACCCCTGCTTGTACCAAGGAAAAACTTCTGTGTGTCCCGCCCAGTCACGCCAGCCTCTGTACATGATGATGCTGCATCTAATTGTGGGACTGTTGGTCCAACCAAAAAAGAATCTGACTGTGATACTCAATCTGACAAATCTTCTGAGAAAAATCTTGATGTTACTGCTGTGAAAGAAGTTTGTGGAAAGACAGAAAAAGTTAATCGTAGTGTTACATTGCCTCTGGAGCATTCCAGGCTACTGCAGTTTTTGGAACCAGACCCTGTGTTTCTTGCTCGAACATGGCTTGGGACTGGTGGCTTCAAGGTTCCCGACGAGCAATGCAGGCGAAAGCATTTGATTTTGGAGGCCCTTGCTCGGAAGAGGAAACAAGTCTACTTCCTCAAGAGCCTAAAGTTCTACGATGTAAGATCTGACAATTTTTCTGACCTTTCGTAGCATTAACAGCTCTCTTCAATTCAACCTTTTAAATATCTCCTTATTTATGGTTCCAGGACTATGCAAATAGCCTCAAGCAAGGCAACTGCTTTGCTTGTGAAAAAAAGAAGATGATGTGGGCTAATTACCCATGCCAGCATCTGTTGTGGTGCGGTGACTGCAAGGTTGTAGCTATGAGGATTGCTGCAGTCGGTACTTCAACTCACAAATGTGTAGTTTGTGACGAGATGGTGGAAAAGATTGATTTGATACCCTGGACTAGAAGGCAACATCACAGCTACGAGGACATGGAATTCCCTCCCGTTCATGCTGCTTATCTGAGAAGGTTAAATTGTGGCTTCCATACATTTTACCTATTATTTAAAATCATTTTTTGCATCCATTTAATCTGAACACAAACACACTTCCCCTCCAGGCCACAGAAAGTGTGAGGGTTCAGCATGAGAAATGTATCAACTTTGCAAGCCAACAATGAACTTTCTGCATCTTGCATCAATGCATCAACTAACCTCGATAAAACCTTTATAGTCGTGGAAGTGTCTCAGCTCTAAAAATGAGATTTAGTATATTGTTTGCACAACAGATTAAACATTATTCAGACAATGCTTTTGTTGATTATGCTTATAAAGTTCCCTGTGATACTGATATATGTTTGTTCTTTCGTTGCACAGTCAAAGACTTCAAGCTTGAAGAGAATTTTTCGAGTTCATTCAACAAGCTGTGTAGACACTGTAAAGGATTCTTCTTTTGGATGCTGACAGGAGGTGCACAAGTTTGTTTTCTGATGTATAATTTTTGGCTCTTAAGACTAACATTTACTCCTCCCTTTTTGCTTTAACGAGTTTCTGAAACACATTTACAGTTTGGTAAGGTGATGTATGGGAGGTTGGAAGTAGAAAAATCAAAAGTAGCAGGAAACACCCTGGCATATTACGGGGTGTATAGGCAGTAGTAAAGCAGTGAGTATCCTTACTGCAGTTAGCATGGTTAGTACTCTGAAAATAGGTAGCAAAATTCCTACTTCTTGGAAAATCAATGTAAATGAAGTTGCTTCTTAGCATTGGAGTAAATAAATTTCCCTTATTTCTCCTAGAAGTTGCAATTGATTTTGCCAAGGCCAAACAGACTTGTTCTATGCAAATGCAGCTTTTTGCTGCCTGTAAATTGAACATATTAACAAACTCTTAGCCTTCACCCCAAGTTCTCTCTAACATTTCCCGCAAAAACCATTCCGATTGATTTAGGCCTTGTTTAGTTCACTTTATTTTTCCTTATTTTATAAAAAATTAGTTCAGATCATATTCAATCGGAAAAAATAAGTTTAGAGATCATCGTTTTATCTGTAATTTTTTATTGTTAGATATCTTTAAATTTGTAATGAAAAAAATTTATGAAAATTACATATTAATAAAATACACATTATTATGAATCTAACAAAACCTTGATATATTTTTATCTTATATATTATCGTACACTTAAGTCTATGTTTGGTAAAATTAGACAATAAAATCAGACCAAATCAAATAAGTTCAGATAAGCAAAAAATAAGGTGAAATTAATAAGCCCAAGTGACAATCCGATTCGACTTAGGATCTCAAATCGGAAGTAACTAAGCAAGCAATCAAATATTCCCACCGTATTTTATTACTTGTTCTACTTTTGTTTTGCGCAGTAATTTTTACTTACACAATTTCTTTTGTTAGAAACTTTTAACATTTAGCGACCGTATTTAATTACTTGCTCAATTTTCTTTTTTGAAAAATTTTCACAATATTTTACAAAGTTCTTCTCTCTTAGTGGACCCCAAACTATCATACTTTAATATTTTGATATATTTTTTTTACAAGAATATTTTGATATTTTTGGATCATCTCTTCTCCCAACTATTATACTACTTCCATTACTTATTATGTGTAACAAAGAAATATTTTATATCTCACAAATAATATCCCTTTATTGCACATAATAAGAACAATCCCTTTTGCATGCCCCTGGTTTACAATAATTTTATTGTACATCGAACATTTTGCGAGAAGTGACCCTTTTTCGTATAAAAGTGACCCTTTTTCTTCTACAAAAGTAACCATTTTTTTCACAAAAGTGACCCTTTTGTTTCACAAAAATGACCCCTTTTATTTACAAAAGTGACCATTTTTTTCACAAAAGTGACCTTTTTTTCACAAAAGTGACCCATTTTTTTCACAAAAGTGACCCTTTTATTCACAAAAGTGACCTTTTTTTTCACAAAAGTGACCCATTTTATTCACAAAAGTGACCCTTTTTTATTCACAAAAGTGACTTTTTTTTACAAAAGTGACCTTTTTTTTCACAAAAGTGACCCATTTTTTTCACAAAAGTGACCCCTTTTATTTACAAAAGTGACCCTTTTTTTCACAAAAGTGACCTTTTTTTTCACAAAAGTGACCCATTTTATTCACAAAAGTGACCCTTTTTTATTCACAAAAGTGACTTTTTTTTTACAAAAGTGACATTTTTTTCAACAAAATAAACCTTTTTTTTTACACAAAAGTGACCTTTTTTTTTACAAAAGTGACATTTTTTTCAACAAAAGTGACCCTTTTTTACTCTTTTTATTTCACAAAAGTGACCCTTTTATTTTCACAAAACTTAATACACGATAGATCTCCCTCATTTATTTGAAGCTAGATTACTAGTCTTCTTCATTCCACAATTTACAAGTAAAAATGTATAGAAAAACAACGAAAGTAATGCAATTAAAAATTGAAATCAAAATTCAACAATAGCAAAACCATATAAATCATATTGATATACCGTAAAGTAATTCAAAAAACATATTTGCATGTGATGGATTTGTACTAATCTTCTTCATTGATACGTTTGGAAATTCATAATCAAAAGAAAAATGCAAAAAATTAAAATTAGGAATCGAAAAGTAGAGTATAACCTAGAAAATTGAGAGGATTTGTAATGGTGAAAAATTGATCCCAAAAGAGAAAGAAACTGGGAACAAAAAAGAGAAATTGAGAGCAGAAGAGAGAGAAAGTTGGGTGAGAAATAAAGAGGAAAGAGAATGGAGAGTGAAATTGAAGAACAAAGGAGATAGAAAAAAACAAAATTAAAAGAAATTAAAGGGAGGTAACAAATCTCCTACTAAAATCATCACTATCGCTTGAAGGCAGGAGGCAAAATAAATGCAGGAAAAATAACAGAGGTAATGGCTACAATATCGCCATTCAATAACTATTATTGTAAACCGGCTTTTTTTGAACTTTTGTGTTATAAGAAACAGAGCTAGTACTTTATTCTTTTACCAACCCCACTTCTTATTTTGATTACGAATATTTGGGAATCTACGTGAAATTTACTACCTTAGGTCTTGTTTAATTCACCATATTTATACTTATTTCAGAATAAATAAGTTCAAATCAGATAAAAAAAAATCAGATTAGATCATTGTTTTATGTGCAGTTTTTATCGATAAATATTTTTAATTTTGTAATGAAAAAATTATGAAATTCACATATTAATAAAATACACATTATTCCGAATCTAAGAAGACCCCGATTGATATATTTTTTCCGCATATGTTATCGTATATTTAAGTCAAAATTTGGTCGACCTGACATTCAGGCCAAATCAGATCAGACCAGATCAGATAATATTAAATAAAGTCAACCAAATAAGTTCCAAGTCAATAGGAATGGAACAAGATCTAAGCCATAATATATTGATTTGATTAACTTGAAGCTCATTTTCATGATCCGACTCATTGCTCAACTTCTCATTAGATTTTTTTTTTTTGTAAATTTCTAGTTCATATGTATTGTTATGGTAGAATGTTATGAGTATTAGAAGTTGCATTTTGAAAAGGGAATATTAAGGCCCTGTTTAATTTACCTTAATTTTGCTGATATGAAATTATTTTTATTGAACTGAGCTTATTTTTACTGAACTGAACTTAATTTTACTAAACTGAACTTAATTTTACTGAACTGAAATTATTTTTACTGAACTGAAATTATTTTTACTGATTTTCTATTATAATTCTTCTTTAAGAAAACTGAATTTTACTGAACTGAACTTATTTTTAGTGAACTCAAATTATTTTTACTGAACTAAAATTAATTTTACTGAATTGAACTTATTTTTATTGAAGTGAAATTATTTTTACTTAATAATATTTTTTAAGGTGAATCAAATAGGGCCTAATTAAAGGGGCTCGTTAGTAAAGTAACATAATATGGTTAGTAATTACCCCGTAAGTGTTTAATGATGAAATAACCATAAAATTTGCTTAACAAGGTCATTAGGTGCATTATTACAAAGTAGGGTGTCACTTTGTGGAACAAAAGTTTTGTAATGCAACCATATGGAAATTTTTGAAACTGAGAGGATACCATATAGGATTTCCCTAGTTATAAATTACCAAATTGGTTATTGGTATAGTGGTGATTGAGCTACACTTGGTAAAGAGGACCTCATATTTTTTCTCATAAAACAATAATAACTACTGAGAATTGATGAGAACCGAATGTGAATTAACTCAAATTGTGAACTGGGTGGAACACCAAAAAAATACAAAGTATTCCCTCTTTATTTTTTTTTTTGGTTAAAAGTATTCCCTCTCTATCAATTACCTTATACGATGGTAAAAAGATACTTCGTAATTAGGATCACCTGATATCTTAATCCATGATTGGACCATAATCAACAAGCAAATCATATCCATGTACTTGTATAATGAGACAAGATCCTGATAAGACATTCCTAACGTACCAAGACCGTTGTATATTTGTACATCCTAAATAGTTGACAAGTATTTAAAAACCAAAATTTCGTGAATTGAAAATTTGGGTATTTATTCATTTGCAACTTAACGTACTTGGCTGTCGTTATTATAATTCAATTTTTTTTTTACTTTTTTTTAACATGATTGAATGATTTAATTAATTCTTTTTAACATAATCAAACTTGAAAATAAATGATTTAATTATTTTTTTTTTGACTTTTATTTAATTATTTATTTAATTCTTTTTAACATAATCAAACTTGAAAATAAATAATTTAACTCGATTTTACTAAATCCAACTCATTTATCCGAATTGACACCTCAATATGTGTTACGAGTGTTGAGACTTGTGAGTGCACTTTCCACAAAATGAAAACAACATCGATAAATGAATTGATGATAATGTCTTTGCCTCTTTGGCTTCCAATGGTTGATGCCCCTACTAGAAGAGCAACAGACTTATCATACCACAACATAAATTACAAATGCAGGTGCTCTCAATTTCAGGTTGTTGCACCATTCCTTCTTCCCCAACAACCAATGTCACCAAATGCCTTAGTCGCAGAGACCTTTTCTTCGATGGGGTCTCCTCCATTTGTTCTTCTTCTTCCCAAAGGTTATTCCTTTTTATCTCTCTTCCAATTTCGTGAAATTTCAATGGGTTTGAATTTCTTACGACTTTTGTTTGTATTCTTGCAGAATTGATGATTGCGGAAGTAATAATTTAGTTGATGATGAAATTCGGTCAAATTTTCCCTTTTCAACTAGGCGGGCTTTGATTCGGAGTTTGGGGTTTTGTTCTTGTTATTATCTTTCTACCTATTTTCCAGGTTTGTTGCTGAAATTTTATGGTGATTTTTGTTTTTTTTTTGTTTTTTTTTTAATGTTATTTGCATTGAGAATTTTCCATTTAAATATGAGGTTGATGATAATTGAAGTGCGGCAATGTGTTGATTTTATTTTATTGTAAATTGAGAATATGTTGATTTTGTTTTATTGAAGTATTTTTGCTTGGGATTTTGATACAAGTTGCGACACCAATTTCAACATTGGAAACAAAAAAGGTTCAAAATTTCAAATAAGGGTTAATAAGATAAATTGTGAAAGATAAGGTCAATTTACAATTAAGGGGTTACAATAGGTTAAGCATTCTTGGAGTTTTCATACTTTGGAAGCGTGTCAATACATCATCATCACTAAACTCTCTTCACCAAAAAAAAAAAAAAAAAAATCATCACTAAACTCTAGTCTAGCAAAAAGTATCATTTGAATATAAATGGGTCATTGATGAAAACACAATTTTCATTGCTCGTGTAAACCAATTTGTAAGAAGTATGTTTATTTGTATAAGAGATTGAAGGTTGCAATGATATATGGTGAATAATAGGATGAGAGAATGAGGTGTTTGGAGAAGGGGATCTTTAGAGACAATGCTTGGATGTTCTTCTCAAGATCTGGAACTTAATTGTTTTGTACCTTTGTCCAAAAGGATTAAAATTATGGGTGGATTTCAAGGTCATAATTTGGAAAAATAATGGATTCTACTGGGATTCATGTTTTGCTAAAACATGATGACAAAATTTCTTCGTCTCCACCTGTCCTGCATGAGCTTCAAGATTGTGAATTGAGTGTTGATGAAACTGCCTTACAGTACTTCCTATGTATTGAGGGAAAAGGGGTGGGTGGTGGGGTTACATTGTGATATTGGCAAGATGTTCCTTATAGGGTGTTTCGAAGTTGGATAGGGTCTTGTATAATGGAGTTTATTTGAGATTCTTGATCAAAGCTCTACTGATTTTCTTCTACCTGCTGTACCTTGTGTTTCTGATCAGCTCTTGCCTCAGTCAATTTTGTGCATCATCAGTCCCTTGAACCTATGAGGGTGCTGCCTCACTTGCATAGTCATAGATATGTTTGCACTTAACTTAGTGCTCTCACCTGAACTTTCCTTTTACACAACTCTAACCCAGATTTTCAAATGTTTGTGTAAAACCTGAATGTATCGTTTATTGCAATTTTTAAGAAATGTTTTGTGAAATATTTTCTTATGCTTCTAATTGCCTTGACTGCATATGGATTTACAGCTTTTGCACTAGGGGATCCATCTGTCACAATTGAAGAAGTAACACCTTCAGTTTCCCCTTCTGGGCCTCTATTACCCGCTGAGGTTTGCTTTCCTTAGCAATTCAACTACTGTCTCTCTAGTTTAATTATGTTCTTAGTGGTGACTTCTACACTTTATTTACTGAATGTTCATGGCAGGTGAATTGATATCTATGTACTTGACAGGAAAGAGTTGTTCAGCTATTTGAGAAGAATACGTACTCTGTGGTGAACATCTTTGATGTAACATTGCGTCCCCAGCTCAATATTACAGGTGTGGTTGAGGTAATTACTCATAGCAAATATTGGTATTACTCAGGGTTATGTGATTACTGATTAGTTCCATCATGTGTACGTGATTAGCTGTTGCTATTCAATAAATGTGCAGTCTAATCAGCTTTCTGCTTTTTCAACTTTGGCATTCTTTGAGTTTTGACTCTCTAGTGATGCAGTTTTAACATGGTTATAATTGTTGAACAGGTTCCTGAAGGAAACGGTTCAGGAGTAGTTTGGGATGGACAGGGCCACATTGTCACGAACTATCATGGTAAGGTTTGAGAAATTATTTAGATAATTATCCAGGTTATAATTTATCCTTCTTTGTATCAACTTCCAACGGTATGTTTGAGAAAGTTAATGGTCCTTGCCATGTTTTTTGCATACATTATTATAATTTTTTTTTTGTCCGTCTTTCTTTAAGGATGATGTTCGATAAGAAATGAATTCATTATTATGAATATGTGACTCTTCACCTACATCTTCTCTGACCAATTGAAAATGGTTACATCAGATAAAACTAAGTAAAAAATGTTGGAAAGTGCAATTTTTTTTGACACAAGGGCTGTCACACTTTAAGCAACAATTTAAGATTTGTGGACGAGTAAAAAGAAACTAGGTGCTGGGTTCATAAGTTTCTAACCTTTGTCTCTAAAGAATGGAACATCAAAAATTTCAGGAGAAATTAATTTATGTATTTAACAAAGAAGTTTAAGTTAATGCATGTTTTTGGGTTTGCTTTCTCACACTAATCTTTTGACACAGCTGTAATTCCAATTTATTCTCCACTTTCCAATTATGATCAATGAGAATTTTCTTGAATTTGTCTTAGAATCACTTAAAAAAACAGTTTGTCCTGATGGTATATCGGAAGAAGTGTGGATGTGCTTGGGTAAAATTGGTATTGATTGCTTAACAAATCTCATTAACAAGATATGGATAGCTACAAGAATCCCGCAAGATTGGAGGAAGAACACCTTGGTCCCAATCTATAAAAACAAAGGAGACATTCAAGATTAATCTAACTATCTAGGGACCAAGCTTATGAGATACACTATGAAGTTGTGGGAAACTAGGAAAGGGTGATTGCACATAGGTTGAGGGCTTGTATAAGCATTTCGGATAACCAATTTGGTTTTATGCCTGGGAGTTCTACTATTGAAGGGATCCATTTGATAAGGCTAATGATGGAGTTTTATAGGGTAAAGAAGGACATTTATATGGTTTTATTGATTTTGAGAAGGCCTATGATAAGGTATACCGCAAAGGTACGTGGGCCTAGAAGAACATGTATTGGGATTTGTCAACAAATGTGAGGACATGTGATGGGTTGATAAAAGATTTTTCTATTACAATTGGATTGCTACAAGGGTCTGAACCATTTTCGTTTTGGTGTATGAAACTAGTTAGAGGTCTGATAGCCAAAACACCACGTCGTTTGGCTACTCCGACGATATAGCTCTACTTACTCCTAGATAAAGAAACACCCCTAGGAATAATTGAGAGAAACCTTGGATACAGAAACAACACCAAGGATTAGGGAGGATGCTCAACCTAAGAACACTCAAAGTGTAATATATTTCATATGCAAAGCTTGTGTTTTACGGGTTACAACTATGGCTATTTATAGCTTTGATTCAGTACTATTACAACTGTCAAAATTGAACTAATTAGTGCAAAAACCTAACTATTGTTGAGTTGGGATATTGTCGACATGAGCTTCTAGAAGTGGTCAAACTGGATGGTGGAGGGCTGGCTTCTACAAAAAAAAACTTGAACCTTAACGGGGATGGCTTCTAGAAAGAGTACTTGAACCTTAACCTTGTCAAAAAAAATTTAAAGTCGTACAACTCCAACAATATTGGTCGTTCAACGACGTCACCAAGCTTGCTTTGAAAGTTGAAAGCCAGCAAGCAAAGGAGAAAACTGGATTCAAGTTTGTCTCTAAGGAGAGCTCTTATCGTGGAAATACTTCAACAAAGTTTCCATTGAAGGCGAACTCTAGCACATCAACGAAGAAGATTGAGAATCCAATTGCAACAAGTAAATCGCAAAGGCAAGGTAACAATAATTCCACTTTAAGAAGATGTTTTAAATGTCAAGGATTTGGGCCCATTGCTTCTGAATGTCCAAATTCTCGAATGATGTCTCTTGTTGAAGAGGAATTATTAGAAGAAGAACATGTTGAAGATAACCTTGAGAATGACAACAATGAAGAGGTCTTGCACAGTTGCACGCTAACAAAGACGAATCGTTAGTCATTCGTTGTATCCTTAATGCCACCCCAGTAAAAGAAGATGAATGGTTACGCAACATTTTCCATATTCGAGGTACATATCATGGCAAAATATGTGATGTCATCGTCGATAGTGGTAGTTGTGAGAATGTGATTGTCGTCACCATGGTCTAAAAATTGAAGCTGCCTACGAAGGATCACCCTTATCCCTACAAGCTTACATGGTTGAAGAAGGGGAATGATGTCAAGGTCTCTAAGAGATGCCTCGTTTGTTTCTCCATTGGGAAGAAATATCAAGATAAGGTATGGTGTGATGTCATCCTTATGGAAGCTTGTCACCTACTTTTGGATCGCCCATGGAAGTATGATCGTCGTGCAATTCATGATGGCTTTCATAATACTTATTCCTTTGAAAAGGATGGTGTCAAAATTGTTTTAACACCACTAAAAAGGGATTTGTTGACAAGGCTAAGCCAAGAGAAGAGCTCTGTTGTGTCAGAATCAATGTTTACAATGGCCTTGGAAGAATCCGTTGTTGCTTGTGTTTTAGTCATGCTCGAGGAAAATCAAGAAGATCTAGGAATGGCGGACGAGATCCAACCTTTACTTAGCGAATTCAGTGACATTGTGTCGAAAGAAATTCCTTGATGGTTTACCTCCAATGCGTTATATTCAACATTGCATCGACTTTGTTCCTAGAGCACTCATTCCATACAAGGTTGCCTATCGAATGAGTCCAAAAGAGCATGAAGAGCTCCAACGATAACTCATCGATCTCATGCAAAAAGGATTGGTACGTGAAAGTGTGAGTCCATGCTCAATTCCATCACTCCTTGTCCCAAAGAAAGACGGATTGTGGTTCATGTGCATTGATACTTGTGCCGTCAATCGAATCACTATCAAGTATCCTTTCCCATTCCGCGCCTCGATGATCTACTTGATCAATTATATGGTGCTGTTGTATTCTCGAAGATTGATCTACGAAGCGGATATCATCAAATCCGAATGATGCGACCTGGAGATGAATGAAAGACTACCTTCAAGACTAGAGATGAATTGTATGAGTTATTGGTCATGTCGTTCGGTCTTTCCAATGCTCCTAGAACCTTTATGCGATTGATGAATTAGGTATTCCGCCCTTTCATTGGCAAGTTCGTAGTTATTTACTTTGATGATATCCTTGTGTACGTTCGAAGTTCAGAAGAGCATATGGATCATCTACAACAAATTTTCCAAGTTCTTCGTGAACAAAAGTTGTATGCCAATCTGAAGAAATGTCACTTTCTCACCGATAAAGTGGTATTCCTTGGATATGTTATCGCTGGCAATGGGATCGAGATGGATCCTAGCAAGATTAAAGCCATCAATTCCTCCATCAATACATGGTGTTCGCAGCTTTCATGGTCTAGCAGCTTTCTACCGCCTAGTCATCAAAAATTTCAACACTATTGCTGCCCGCTCACTGAAGTAATGAAGAAGGAGAAGTTTGAGTGGACCTCAACCGCTCAACAAAGCTTTGGAAATTGAAGATCATGATCACCCATGCACCAATTCTCGCCTTGCTGGATTTTGATAAGCTTTTCGAGGTAGATTGTGATGCTTCGGGAGTTGGTATAGGTGCAGTCCTCGTCCAAGAGGGACGACTGATTGCTTTCTTTAGTGAAAAGCTCAATGAATCAAGGCGCAAGTACTCTACGTATGAGAAGGAGCTCTATACAGTTGTACCTTAGATCATTGGAGTCACTATCTTTTAGCTAAAGAGTTTGTGCTCTACTCAGATCACGAATCACTGAGCATCTTCATAGCCAAACTCCAACATCGTCATGCAAGATAGAGCGAGTTCTTCTCTCCTTTCCACTTTGTCCTCAGGCACAAATCTTGGACACAAAACAAGGTTGCTGATGTCCTAAGTAGAAGACGTGCCTTGTTTTCCACTCTCCAAGTCAAAGTCATTGGTTTCGAGGTTCTCAAATACTTATATGAAGATGATGAAGATTATGGAAAAATTTGGAAGGCTTTTTGTCTCCAGAAGGTACGTGTAATAGTTGCATTGCATATATTCTTTGAGTATTTTATTGAGTTTTTTCTTTGAGTATTTTATATATTTTTTAAAAAAAAATTAATTAAAGCTTGTGGTATGCACTTAAATATAATATTTTTAACATATTAATAACATAATTAATAATTGGTCAGGAGGCCTTCACCGCCATTTTCATCAACAAGATGGCTACTTATTTAAGGGAAATCAATTGTGCTTGCTAAGATGTTTACTACGTGAGGTGATACTACATGAGTGTCATGCCGGTGGTCTTGCTGGTCATTTTGGTCGTGATAAGATATTAGGCATTGTTAAAGAAAATTTCTATTGGCCCCACATGGTTCGTGACATCGATGGATATGTCAAGCGATGCCGAGCGTGTCATATTGCCAAAGCCCGAGGTCAAAACACCTGTCTTTACCCACCCACCATTGTCGGTGGTGCCTGATGCTCATGAAGATGTTAGTATGGATTTTGTTGTTAGGTTACCTCGTACCCAACGCAACAAAGATTCCATCATGGTTGTTGATCAATTCTTGAAGATGGCTCATTTTGTTCCATGCAATAAAACTAATGATGCCACGCAGATTGCTGATCTTATTTTCGAGAAATTGTACGGCTACATGGAATACCAAAGATTATCACTTCTGATTGAGATGTCTAAGTTCATGCGTCATTTTTGGCGAACTTTATGGCGAAAGTTGGGAACATAGTTGCAATTTTGCTCAGCCGCACATCCTCAAACTCATGGTTAAACTGAAGTTGTCAATAGGACTCTTGGGAATATGATGAGAAGTCTTGTAAGCAAGAACATCCGACGGTGGGATGTGTTGTTAACTTAAGCCGAGTTCGCCTACAATTGTTCTCCGAGCCAAACCATTGGTGAAGATCATTTATGGTAAAAATCCAACTACGCCAATTGATCTTGTTCCACTACCCTCTCCTGACCACTTTAGCAATGATGCTGATGAACGAGCTAGAGAAATCAAGAAGTTGTATGAGAAGGTTCGAGCTCAAATTACAAGGCAAAATCAACGCTATTAATCACAAGCGAACAAGTTCTGTAAATCGGCTAGTTTTAAGGAAGGAGATCTTGTTTGGATCCACTTAAGGAAAGAAAGGTTTCCCAAAGGAACACATGGTAAACTCAAGCCCGAGATAATAGACCATTCAAGGTCCTAGAACAAATCGGGGAAAATGCATACAAGATTGAGCTTTCGGGGGAATACAATGTTTCCGCTACATTTAATGTCGCTGATTTATCCCCATATTACGAGGATGAGGAAGAGCAAAGACTCGAGGTTGAGTCTTCTCCAATAAGGGGAGTTTGACAAGGTTAAGGTTAAAGTACTCTTTCTAGAAGCCGGCAGCCCGTTAAGGTTCATATACTCTTTCTAGAAGCCGGCCCCTCCATCCAATTTGACCACTGCTAGAAGCTCGTGTCGGCAATAGCTAGCTCATGTCGGCAATATCCCAACTCAACAATAGCTAGGTTCTTGCATTAATTAGTTCAACTTTGACAATTGTAATAGTACTGAATCAAGGCTATAAATAGCCATAGTTGTAACCCGTAAACTCAAGCTTTGCATATGAAATATATTACACTTTGAGTGTTCTTAGGTTAACCATCCTCCCTAATCCCGTGGTGGTGTTTCTGTATCCAAGGTTTCTCTCAATTATTCCTAGTGGTGTTTCTGTGTCTAGGAGTAAGTAGAGCTGTATCATCAGAGTAGCCGACCGTCGTGGTGTTTTGGCTAATTCAATCAGACCCCTAACTAGTACGCCGAATATGGTGTCAAAAATGTTGACAATGCTAAATCTTTAATTTATCATATGTTTGTTTTGGTACTTTTTTTTCAGATTTTTTTTTTAATAATTTATGGTAAACAAATTTTCCGTACCCATATCCTGAAAATTTTGGATTTGCTGTTTTCCTTCCTCGTACTCATATACGTCCTTGTATCCCATATTCGTGCAACCTAGTTGGTAAGTGTGGTGTGGGGCTGTGGCCACTATACTAACCTATTCTGTCAAGCTGGTAGATAAATTTCTGTTTTTGTTTGTTTGTTTGATAGATGTTGTATGATTACGTATTTACATCCATAAGTAACAAGTAATAAACTTCCAAAGAAGTGTTTATGTTAACTTGTACAGTAGTTATGATTGACATATTCACTATATAATGTTGGTAGACAAAAATGTTGACAATGCTAAATCTTTTCCTCTTGCAAATTTGCAATGCTGGATTGCTTTTGGTATTTTTCCTTTTGGCTTTAAAACCATGTAGTTATATTACAAATCCCATGAGAGCAATTAGAAAGAATACAAGGAAGGGGGGGATAAAAGAAAGATATAAAATAATGTTTACTTTTGTGGTGATATCCAGTGATAGGTAACTCGCTTTCAAATAATCCTAGCCCAGGACAAGTTGTTGCACGTGTTAATGTCTTAGCTTCTGATGGGTAAAATTACTATACCCACTTTTACCATAAATGCTACTATATTTATTTATTTATCTAGAGTAGAATGACTGAATTACATGGCTTCTTAATGTGGATGACCTTCTTTCAGGGTTCAAAAGAGCTTTGAGGGTAGGTTAATCGGAGCTGATCGTGCAAAGGATCTTGCTGTCTTGAAGGTTTACTCTTTTGATAATGATAATTGGCTTTCTTTTAATATTTTATATCATCTAACAGACTAACACCATGTGTTTATGCTTTCCGTAGTTGTCACTAGTAATCTTCATATGTAGAATATAGTTGGTTTCTTTTGCACACATCATGATGTCTCCATCTGTTACAAATTTGATGCTTTTTTTATTTAATTGTTTTTATCGTAAGTTCAAATCATTATTCTATATACTCTACAGTGCATACGAGCTATTGAATATTTAGTGTAAATTGAATTTTGGTTGTTCATTGATCAAGGCCCACTTGGAGCTGTTCTAGCTCAATCATAGGAATATCTCTTATGAATCTTGAATAGAATTGTTACCAAGTCTTGGTAACATAAGCCTCAATTTATCTCATTTTTGTAATTTAAATATGAATAATATGTCTTCTTCTCCCTATTGTTGCAACAATTTGTTTTTGAACTATTCGTGTACTAAATTTAACCATATATTTTACTATTTTACCTATTGTTAAAAACAAATGTTATTATGTAATTTGTTTCTAGATTAATCTAAAAGTAAATTCTCTAAATGTCAACTTATATTAACTTTCATTAATATGAATATAGATACTACCTCTGTTTCATATTATGTGCAACAAAGACCTTAATACAGACTCCTATGTGAAATTTGTTTGTGACTGTTAAATGGTGAGAGAAAGTTAGAGATGCATGTGATTAGAAGAGAGATAAAGTGAATTGACAACTTAAAAAGGAAAGAAAACATTTGTAGCATATAATGTTAGCAACCAATTTTGGTAATTGTTACAAATAATATGAAACGGAGGAATTATTACTAATTGTTGTAAAACATGAAAATCAAAATTTTGCAACTTTAAGAAAAATGGAAGTAGAAGATTAGTGTACTAAACAACGCATTAGAGATACAGTACATCTAGGAGTTATGTAATTCTCAAATATCCTAATATAAGCTCTTGTCTTCGTTCTCATTTTCTCACCACAAATGATATTTCTTTAAATAAACTTGGAAAAGGTTTAGGAGTTTAGTATGTACACACTATTACACATAACTAGTTAGTAGTAATAATATTGGCTTTATAATGTTGCTTCTCTATGGTAGCTGCCCAACATTTTAAATTATATGTATTTTCTTATAATAATGTTGTCTAGATTTGTTTCTTAATCTCGGATTATTAATTTGGTGTGTACCATCTCTTTGGAATGTACGGACTTAACAGCAGTACAGAATGCCTGAAATCCTGTTTTAGCAGTTTCATATACATTGATTACAAATGATTCATTACATTTACGAATGTTTGTTGAATGATGATCAATCTATATACTTTCAGGTAGAAGCAGCTGCAGATCTGTTGAAACCCATCAATGTGGGGCCATCATCCTCCCTTAAAGTTGGCCAACAGTGTTTGGCAATTGGAAATCCTTTTGGTTTTGATCACACACTCACTGTTGGTGTTATAAGTGGATTAAATCGTGATATCTTTAGTCAGACAGGAGTTACAATTGGTGGAGCCATCCAAACAGATGCAGCAATTAATCCTGGGAATAGGTATGTCTGATTTCTAACTCCATCTAACCGATTGATGATTTTTTTTTTTTTTGTTTTACCACGTTACTTGAAGATCCTAAAGTCTGATTAAGTGCTAGGTCACACGACTTATAGTTACTACAGTTTCTCTTTTTTAATTTACAGTTATCTTTGTTTGTTTGGTTATCTTTTTTTTTTTTTTTTTTTTTTTTTTTTTTTTTTTTTTTGTTTTTTTTTGTTTTACCACGTTACTTGAAGATCCTAAAGTCTGATTAAATGCTAGGTCACACGACTTATAGTTACTACAGTTTCTCTTTTTTAATTTACAGTTATCTTTGTTTGTTTGGTTATCTATATATATTTTTCAATTTCCCATCAGTTCTGTTGAACTGTTAACTGGTTTCTAATTTTTTTTTCATTTTTTTTTTGTGTATATGACAACAGTGGAGGACCTCTGCTAGATTCAAAGGGCAATTTGATTGGGATTAATACAGCTATATTTACTCAGACTGGTGAGCTTTTCATTCTGATTAACGGATGGCATTTAAATATTTTTATTTAGTCATTAATTATCTTTAAGCTTCAAGCCTTGAAGCTATAGTACTGTTAACTACTGAATCTGTGAATGTAGCTTATGAATTGAGCTACTTCTTCAGCTAATCTTCCTACCACTTTTGAGTACTGCATCCCTTAAACTTTTGGGTACACAGTTTTAAGAGAGTAAGAATGATTAAGAAATTGAGTCAAAGGAAGTATTTTATCGTTTTCTAATGGAGAAAATAGAAATTGGGGACCCATAATAAATGAAAGAGTAATATTCCTTTTTATTGTTAGGGAAAGAAGGGTTTATAGTTCTTTGTATGATGAGAGTGACACCATACCTAAAAAGAAAATTGGAATTCCAATGGGACTTTACCTAAATGGAATATGATAATTTCGTGAAGGGACACTACACTGGATAGGGATTCAAGTTTGTATTTTCCCCTAATCTTTTTCCAACTAGTTTGCCAGAACTTATTAATGTTGGCTACCAAAATTTTCAGCATTAAGCTACCTTTTTAGTCGTCATGAACTTTCTGTCAGTTTCAATGAACTCTCTATGGAAAGATGTTAAGTAGAGTGAACTAAATATGAGGTCCAACCGTTTTATTATGTTAATCTGTGAAGAGTTTTTAATGGTTATTAAAAAATTTATTTAAAAAAAAAAATATGCGAAGTGATTTATTTGCAGAATGTGCTTGAATCTTTTTAATGTACTACGTATGTAAATTATCTTTTAGCTTAATCTATACATCTCCCATGATTAATCCATTTTCTTTGGATGTGTTTAGTTTAAAGATTAATACTCCCTCCGTCCTACTCAAAATGCCCCATATCCTTTAGTTCACTTTCTTAAGAGTTGGTTTTATTAAAAGCATGTGAGGTTGTATTTTTGTACTTTTGTGGTTGCACATGGGTTGTGAAATTATACTAAATGGAATGGGGTTAACTCATTAGGAAATCCATTTTTAGTATATGGGGCAATCTTAGTGGGGTAGAGGGAGTAAAAAAAATATTTTATCAAATTTGTTCATTTTCTAAAAGTAAATTAATATACTTCCTTGGCATGTTTTCGACAAAGGGACTGTTTATAGGAAAATGATTTGATTGATCTTCACTGATGACTTAATTAACATCACTCTACAAAGTTTCAAGTAGCAGGCCTTAATCAACACCAGGGAAATAGAAAATCAGCAAAACCTAACAAAATCATCCTTGCTCAAGTTGAAAGACTACATACCCAGATAATTTAGGGACATGCCCAAAAAATTTTGTACCTTGAATTAATGGATGATTAAGAGATATACCTAGAAAAATTATTTGAACCTAATAGGAGTTTTTGGTTGCAGGTACATCAGCTGGGGTGGGGTTTGCTATTCCTTCTTCAACTCTACTCAAGATAATACCTCAGTTAATTCAGCTTGGCAAAGTAAGTGACTTTTTCTCAGACGTCTCATGATAATTGAGTTGGATATATTTTAATATAGGAATGTGAGTGAGAGAAAGGAGGTATTCTTACTTTTAAAAATAAAGTAATAGAAAGATAAATAAACTTGTAATTACTCAACTGTCAGTTGCCTGTATATAGAACTTCTACATGCTGATGATGTGCTGTTGAAGGTTGTTCGAGCTGGTCTAAACATTGAGATTGCTCCAGATTTGGTAGCAAGTCAGCTAAACGTTCGGAATGGAGCTCTTGTGTTGCAGGTTTGTGCATCGAGTTTATTTTCCCCTTACAGATAACTGTTTGAGTGTCATCAATTCAGCACTTTCCAAGTTACTTATTGAAAAAGAATTATCATTATCTCTTTAATTCATCAAATGAATAAATGAGTTAATAATTTTTAAATCTACTTGTAGGTTCCGGTGAACAGTATAGCAGCAAAGGCAGGACTACGTCCCACCACAAGGGGCTTTGCTGGGAAAATTATTCTGGGAGATATAATTGCTGCGGTGGACAATAAGCCTGTAAGTTTGTATACCTTTTCCCATTAACTTCATATCCTTTGCAGTTTCATGATACTGGAGTTTAAGGAAATTTAATCTAGTCCATAATGCAAAGAACCATCTGGAAATAAAAAGGATAGAGAAATTATCAATGGTACACCCAAGGTTCGGGCTTTTATCAATGGTACACCCACTTAACTTTTGTTTATCAGCGGTACACCCAAGATTTCATACACTCATCTACAATAACCCTAACGTTAATTAAACGTTAATTTTGGCTTTCTCGATTTTCTTAACTTGAAAAACTCCCTTCTTTTTTTCCCTCTTCACTTTCCCTTTTTTATTTAAACTAACCCACCCACCCCCTCTAATTGTATATATTGTTTCCCTCCCTCATTTTTTTCCCTCTTCACTTTTTTCCCTCTTCACGCGAATTTCCGTCGTTACTTTCTTCTTTTTTTTTTTTTTTTTTTTTGAATCTGAATGGCTTCTTCTGGCATGGGGTCTTCTAGCAACAGGATTGGTAGGGGTTTGTGGTTCAAATCAGTTACTTGCAATTGTAACCATATTTCAACCATTTAGACAAAATTTCATATACTTCCACAAACCAAACAATTTTAAGCGAAATTCAAAAATTTAAAGGCTCAGATCAACACTTACCTTTAACAATCAACAATGAAGTGCAGAGTTCCCAGGAATTTTGTTCCAAACGTAAGTCAATTTAGGCACCTCACAGAAGCATAAATAGAGGAGAGACTGAGAAGGAAGAAAAAGACGAACGATCTTCTGAATTAGGGTGTTTTTAATTTAGGTAGTTGGAATTTGGAGGGAGAGATTTAATGTATGTGGGGTAGGGGGCAATTTAGTAATTTAATTCCATTTTGTTAAAACTAACCTAAAATTAACATTTGATTAACGTTAGGGTTACTGTAGATGAGTGTGGGAAACCTTGGGTGTACCAATAATAAACAAAAGTTAAGTAGGTGTACCATTGATAAAAGCCCGAACTTTGGGTGTACCATTGATAATTTCCCAAAAGGATATTATGTTACGGAACACAGCCTATGAAGGTCTCAGATTGTAAATTGATTGGGCTATTTTAACTGAAACAACTTAAAGAAAAGGGATAGAAGCCCGCCCTTACAGCTGTCAGTTGGGGATATATATATTTTACTAGCTAGAAAGTACTTTGGCTAAGGAAGGAACAGATTAATATTTATCTGAGAATGAAATGCTATATGTTACTAGCTAATTACCATAACAATGGAAGTTACAGACCTTATAGTCTTATTTACCAGTAATGAAGTTTAAAAGCCGTTTTCTGTTTAGATATGTTCCTTTGAAGTAATAGATGTTATGAAGTTTACAATGTATCTCCAAAGTTGTATTATCGTCCCATACACTTAAAATTAAGAAATACAAAATTTCACCAATATGGCAATATGTAGTCCATATGCCAATGTGTTTCTGCGTTATCTCTTTATCACTCAATTTTGACAGCAATATTTTGAAAATGTAATCTTACTAGCTATTTTCAGACGCAAATGTTTTCCAGATATACCTAAATATTATGAAGGCTATCATTACCAAACTGAAGTATCTCCTTGACTCCTTGCTAAGTCCCTTGGTCCTATTATCTGTTAGTTATGTATAGTTCAGGTGTTCAAGTTGCTGTTTAATTGTGACCATCATCACCATTGTTGTAAGATGTGAACCTATGTAGTTCAATGAAGAATTAGACCACAATTTCTACGATACCAACTATATCAGTGAAAAGAAGTGAAAGCAAAGTTCTGGTAAAGGAATAGTTCATTAGGTGAAAGGAATGTAAAGGAATATTTGGTATGTCGCATGGTTCATGCAGTAGAACAAAATAATGTAGTACTTTGTGTGTAATTTATTCTCTGAATGGGCAGGTAAGAAGTAAAGCTGATTTAGTGAGAGTACTTGATGACTACAATATTGGAGATGAAGTGATCTTGAAGATTGTAAGGGATAGTGAAACCTTAGAGGTACCACTTAAATTGGAGGAAACAAACTCCTGAATAAGTTAATATTCCTTTTTTTTTTCTTTTCTTTGTTTTCTTATAGCATTGTGAGTTTAGATTGAGTTGTAAACCTTATAATCAAATAATGTAAATTATATGAATCTATTGATAGTTCCTCTGTTTTCTTTCTTTTTGCAAGACCGTAATTATTGTAGCGAATTTTAATTTTTGATATTTACGAATAATACATTTGGGCAATTTGACCTATAGAAATTACATGGAGGCTGCCCGAGTTTCTCATTTTGTGAAACAATGCTCATTTATCAAGGGACTAAAAGTGCAATATTATAGGTGAGACAGTATAATTGCTAATTTGGGTATTTGGTATAATTAGTACCGGTGTTGGGGTAAATATGCTAATTCAAGTAGCAGTTGTATATCGATAAACAGTGCAAATAGTTGCTTTACTTTACAACTTTGTCATTTGAGAAACATATTTGTTTATCAATAAGAGAAAATAGGGCTAACTGGCTAAGGGCCTTAAGAAGAGAGAGATGTAAAACCGTATAATCACATTGGATGAGTTAGAAAGAACGGAAGTATCTTGCTAAATTTGGAAAAAAAAAATCAACAGCAATTTACTCGTGGCAAAAGTAACGAATGTCTTTGAGGCGTTGGATAAGTTAACTAAAAGTAGAAAGATTAAATTAAACTGAACATATTCATTATATATTAGGAAAAATGGAACTTATATATATTAGGGAAAATGGAATATATTTTAAACGGCTATTTCACCAAATGCCACTGAGCACTTTAAAAATTCACCAAATGCCATCAGAATTTTCAGAATTCACCATATGCCACCCAGTTTTATAAAAATTCGCCGAGTGTCATTGATGACCCACGGCCGTTAACTCCGTTAGTCATTAGGGTTAATCATGACACATGTCATGATATAATTGGTCCATTTATCTTAATTCATAAAAATTAAAACAAAAAAAAAACCCAAAATTTTCCCAATCACCCCCACCACCGCCAAACCCTAGCTCCTCCCCTTATCTTGTCGGAAAACGGTCGGCCACCACATTAACCACCAAAAATCGGTCGGCCGGCCCTTTAACACCCCACCCGACCCACCGCCGACCCCAAAATCACCCACACAAACTGCCCCGACCCCAAAATCCAACAGCGAGCACGAGCTTTGACAACAACATGACTACCGCGCAAAACCACTCATATCCTCCACCCTTGAAACGACGAAATCGGCCATTTTGAATTTCCATGGTCGATTTCGGCCGTTTGAGGGTGAAGGGTTTCCATAGTCGGGTTCTATTTTGGGTTTCCATGGTCGATTTCGGTGGCTATGGTGATGCATCATGTTGGCGCGTGAGGTGGTTGCGGGGACTGGGGTGGGGATCACAGCGGGGGTGTCGGGTAGGCGAAATTCTGTAGGTCGTCGTCAAGATGCTAGAGTCGGGCAAGCGGAATTGTGGGCATTGTGTGAGACGGTTGCGGTGGCTGGGGTGATTTATCGGGAGGAGGAAAGGGGGATTAAGTGCAGTCAATGGTTTTGGTGGGGTCAATGGGTTCAAGAGGGAGGTTAGGGGGTTCCGGCGGATTTCGACGGGAGGTTAGGGGATTATGGCGGTTGGCTTTGGGTGGTGGTTATTGTAGTGGGGGTTGGTTAGGGTTAAGATTTAAAATTTTTAATTTTATTTTTATGTACTTTTTTTGAAACCAATAGCTGACTGACACGTGTCCACATGTGTCATGATTAAGCCCTGGTTATTAACGGAGTTAACTCCGTTAGACAATAATGGCACTTTGTGAATTTTTTTAAAACTCGGTGGCATTTGCTGAATTTTGAAAAGTCCGATGGCATTTGGCGAATTTTTAAATTGCTTAGTGGCATTTGGTAAAATAGCCATATTTTAAATGCTTATTCAACGTCCGGAATGTTTGTGAGCAAGATCCTTTACTCATTATATATTAGAAAAAAAGTAACCTTTTGTCTTCACAAAGTATATGTAATAAACACTAAAAAAAAAAAAAAGTATACTTAATGGAGTATGTTATTAGAGCAAGCTAAGCTTTAAATTACCACCATAATAAACAAATTGAAACAAAAATTGCAAATTAGATGGCAAATTTTGAAATTTGTATCAAGTGCCAAGTTATAAATTAACTGTGAATTTTTGTTGACTTAATCCCATAATTGTCACCTGATTTGCATCCGGTTATAATTGGATTTTCTCATATGATATCGTAGATTTGTAGGTTATCCAATATTTAATGAGATATCATTTTCCGATTTTCATAATTATATATATACTAGTTTTGTGCCCGGGTTGTTTATTGAATTTTATGATAAATTTTTAATCTATATGTCAAATTTTAAAACATATCATTGATACAAAATTACTTAGGAATCTAATATCATATAACTAATATATAAAGCTAAACTTTTAGCCAGGTCAGGAGACAGCAACACTTGGCGCTTTAGTTTTTCGCCAAGTGTCACTATGCCACGTAAGCAATAATTAAATATTAGTATGACATGTATGATTTATTTGGATATATTTTTTATGAATAAAAAATTTGTATTTTTTAATAGGATAAAACTAGAATAGATATTTTAGGATAAAAATGTTAGTTTAAAATTTTATTTTCAATAAAATTTAGATAAATTTATAGGATAAAATTGTTGATTTAGAGTTTTTTTTTCCAATAATTTACCCATATTTCATAGGTACAATTAGCAGATCACAACGACACCACAACAATTAGATAATTTATCATATATATTTATTTTAATATTATAAGTTTTTTGGAGCAACATTCATTTATGATATATCCTAATAGATTGAAATAAAATACTTCACAATCTAATATGAGTTTATTACTTTATGTAGAATTGTCAATCAGGTTGAGTCACAGGTCATTTCTGGTCGAGTCACTTCAGGACTCGGGTTAAGAAATGTTTACATACACTAGCACAAAGTTTCGGGTTCGGTTCAACCCAATAGGCTTAGAATAATTTTTTTTGCTTACTTTATTTTTGGCTAATTATTAGAAATTCTAATATTTCAATTTTTTTATTATTTTTTTTTAAAAAAAAGCAAACATTTTCAGCAATATTATTATTAGTTATTACATGCCTATTATATAATTTAAATTGGCACAAAATCACAACAATTCCTAACTAATTTTGTATCAATGATATATTTTAAAACTTGATACATAAATACAAATATTATCTTAAAATTCAATAAACAATTCTTACATCGCACGAGACACCAAACTAGTATATATATAAAGGGGAGTTTTTCCCCGAGTTTTTAGAGAGCCACGTAGGATTTAATTTTTTCAACGCGCCACGTAGGATAATAAATTTTAGTGGTAGCCAATTAAATACGAGATTATTAATTTCTTTTAGAATTAAATAATTTAACTGACACGTAAGCAAAATTGACGAATGAGATTTTAAAGTTTAAATTAATTAAATATAAAATATTATCTTTTGATATCAGGAATTTTATCTAAATATATAACAAATTTTAGCACATAAATATATATATATAAAAATTATTTTAAAAAATTCAAACAAACCGTGCATCGCATGGGCTTCATCTAGTTGATATATAATGTAGTGGGACTAATAATAATAATATTGGTGAAAAACATTTTTTGACCCGTAACTTGAAATAATGACCATGTCCGAAATGACTCGTGACCCGACCTGATTGATAGGTCTACACACAGTAATAAAATTACATTAGATTGTGAAGTATATTATTTTAATTGATTAGAATATATTATAAATGATGGATGTAGTACATTTTGTACTAATTCCTTCACTCCAAAAAAATATTATGATACATATGAAATATTGGTACTTTATCTAAAATAAAACTCTAAATTAACAATTTTATCTTAAAATTCTATACAAATTTGATTGAAAATAAAATTCTAAACTAACTTTTTTATCCTACAAATTTAATTTTATATAACTCTATCCTACGTAGCGTGACACTTGGCGAAAAATTGAAATGCCAAGTGTTGTTGTCTCGTCACATGGCTAAAAGTTTAGCTTTATATATAATATATATATTTTTTGAATAAAATTATAATTCAACTAGATGAAGCTCGTGCATCTTTGTTTGATTTTTTTTTTGTATTAATGTGCTAAAATTTGTTATATATTTGGATAAAATTCTTAATATCAAAAAATAATATTTAATTAGTTTAAACTTAAAAATTTCATTCGCCAATTTTGTTTACGTGGCATTTGAATTATTTAATTATAAAAGAATTTAATAATCTCTTATTTGATTGGCTACAACAAAAATTTATAATCCTACGTGTTGTTCTAAGAAAATTAAATCTTACGTGGCTCTTTAAAAACTCGGGAAAAAACTCCCCTTTATATATATAATATATATTAGATTTGTACATATGAAATATTGGTACTTTATCTAAAATAAAACTCTAAATTAACAATTTTATCTTAAAATTCTATACAAATTTGATTTAAAATAGAATTCTAAACTAACTTTTTTATCCTACAAATTTAATTTTATATAACTCTATCCTGTGTGGCGTGACACTTGGCGAAAAATTGAAACGCCAAGTGTCGCTGTCTCGTCACATGGCTAAAAGTTTAGCTTTATATATATATATATATATATATATATATATATATATATATATATATATATATATATATATATATATATATATATATATATATATATATATATAATTCACTCTTTGAGTACTCCCTCCGTCTCTCTATTATAAGCCTATTATATATTATTTTGAAACAAATAACCCTATTATATTTCTAAAATTATTACTCACATAATAAAGAAAAATAGGCTTTTAATTTAGGAGACAGAGGGAGTACTTATAAGAGTGTCTTACTAGACATACATTTGATTAATAAAATCAATAGATAAGAGTTTATGAATAATACTCCCTCCGTCCCTTAATACAATGCCTCTTTCTCTTTATTATGTGAGGAATAAATGCTCAAAAAAGGCATTGTATTAAGGGACGGAGGGAATAATAAAAATAAATTACTCCCTCCGTCCCTAAATTACATTCTTCTTTCTCTCTATTATGTGAGGAATAAATGCTAGAAAGAGGAATGTAATTTAGGGACGGAGGGAGTACAAAGATTCAAAGTTTTTGACGTCCAAATTATCATCACAATATATGTCTCTGCCAAATTACTACTCCACTAATTAAGTTAACATTGTTGACAGCATAATTTCTAGAAATAAAATTAAATTGAACCAAGTTCTTTGGGACATGAGTAATTAAAATATCAATTAATTTAGCTAGTGACACCAATGTGGAATGTGGATTAGAGAGAGTAAGTTGGATTAATGACTTTAATGTGGATTTGCTACACATTGGAGCTAGTAATTTACTTAATTAATCAATTAATACACTGAAAGAAGGAAGATTAAACTTTAGTTTGAAGATATTGACTGAGGTTATGCACGATTTGGTGCTAATCCAAAGGTCAAGGATTGCAAATTGACAAAATTTGTGTTTAAACGAGGAGCTTTAATTTCTGCAATATTTTGAAGTTTACCACACTATTTTTGTTTGTTTTCAGTTTCTCTGACTCCAAGATCATCCTATATCATTAGTTTCATAATTTCATTTGTCAACTATGTAGCAAACATTAGTTGCTAGCTTAAGCAATGTCCTTGTACAATGATGTATTGTGTGCAATTGTAGTACTAAAACTACCAAGTATATATCTCTATTTTGCATTGGTTTTAAAACTATTACCGATATGAGACATCTTATTGAATTAACACAATAGTGTTCAGCAATTATACTGTTAAAACTGTCAAATATATTAGCGATATTAATAAGTGGAGTTGCTTACAAAAGTTATGGATGAAAGCAGACTATCGCATATCTATGTATATTAAAAGATATTTGAATAAAAACAACCAATGGCTTTTCATTTAAAACCACTAATGTCATTAGAGGTTTTAACTTTTAAGCCTCAAAAGAGGAATAAATAAGGGTCTCCAAAGGATCCTATGTGAACAATAATATGTGTGAAATTTGTGTATATAACATATATATAAGGAAATAATTTGTGTTTACTTTAATTTTAAAATAAGATCTTCTTAAGGTAAGACCACCTTGTAAGTGATTTTTATTATACTTTGGTATTACCAATGGGGCAAGGGAAGAGAGAACATGGAAGATATATGTAAGATCACATGTCTGCAATGACTCTCAAAAGTCGTTTTATGATGATAAGGCGGCCTTACATAAATGTTTCTAATATGTTTTAGGCAAATATATTGGATTTACTTTGCGATTTATAAAAGGGTGACATGTCGAATTCTGTTTATTTTATAAGAAAATTCATGTTATTTTTAAAACATGTGAACAAGAACACATAATAACATTTAAAAGATTTATCGATCAAATTATTCCTAGCAAATAAAAAGAAAATATCTCCATAGTTAACTAATCTAAATCAAAAAAAGAAGAGCTTTATAAATTTCCTTTTAATATTTTCCATTTACTATGGTGTTCCAAAATTGTGTGGAATATACATTTATAAATAGTGGTTATGGTTTAATTATTATTAGGTTTGAATTTATAATAGGTCGCATCATATTTGGGTCGAATTATGATTGGTTAGGATGCATACTAGTTTGGTTTGAATCCTCAAATCAACTTGAGTGTTGGGTTGATTTTGAGTCAAGTTGGTTGGGACCCTTTTGGGTCATTCTTTCTCAGGTTTGAGTTAGGCCAACTTTTGAATGCTAGCTTTTTGCATAATTTGTGTGTTTCTACTTTAAAATAAATTATAAGCGCACCAATGCAAGATCAAATTGCATTATCAAGAATTATGACATGATATTTTCACATTAAATTGACAAAAATTCATTATCTGATATAGTATTGATTGCAAGATGTAAAGAACAACATGAGGAAAAAACTAAGAACACACAAGATGCATAGAGATCCAGCCCTTATATTGTTACTTTGATACATCTTCTTGCAAGACTAACTATTTATATTAGTATAAATAAATTAATATAACATCACTTGGCATAATGGATGTGTGTTACTAGTTACTACATTAGAGATGTAACTAATGGTAGCATAAAAGGAGGTGTTACATTTAGTTAACACAGATGTTTCATCAACAATATCATTTTTCTTAATTCACCGCATAGATAGAAAACAAATTTTTATATTTGATGGGGGTATTAAGTAGTGATGACAATAATGAAAAACGTACGCAGTTTAAATTGAAGTTACATTTTATAAACATGAAAATTGAATTATCTAAATTTAAGATATACAGTAATTCACATGAACTTTTTGAAATTAGGATGAGTTTATTCAAACATTTATTAACTCTTGTATGTTGAACTTGTGTAAGCTTTATCTAAACTTCATGGAAAAATGTTGAATTTGACGAGGATTATGAAACCTTTTTTTTTCCTGCACATCTAAGTTTTTATGTTTATAAAGTTAGTGACCGAAAATACGAATCCTTTCAATTAGCTTTGGTTTGATTCATTTCATTTTGAATTTGGTAAGATATGTCTAAATTTTCATCAAAATAACTACTAGTAGATAAATTTTTTATCATATTGTATACACAAGTCAAGTCGAGTCAGTTACAAAATTATGTTATGTTATTTCATTTCTGCACAAGTTTTGAAAGACCTAATTTCTAAGCAAAAGAGTAATGGAGTGCCAAATACTTGAACATCTTTTTACATGTTGGTTGACACATTTGAAGTAACCGTACATCAATAGTCAAACAGTCAACTAATTTGTTCAACTGCTCTTCTTACTAAAAACATGAATTTCGAATTCTGAAATCACCACTCTTTCATCATGCAAATTATATTTATTTATTCCCATTTAACTTTCAATCTACACAAGTCAATTAGATTTGGTACCCTAATCAAGTTTAAAACTTCAAATATTTTTGTAACTAAAATCCGCCATGATGGTCCAAAACATTTCCCCATAAGAAGGGCTATAATAATAGGGGATGCCTAAAAAATTTTAATTGCATTGAGAAGGGATTAAATTAATTTGCATTTATTTGGGGCTTAGATTTTCAGTATTTTTCAATTTCATGGATCATTTTGTTTTGTTTTTTTTTTTTGTAAAGGTAAGAAAAATATATTAGGAAATCGATCAAGGTACATTCTTGAACATTTTCTCTCTATTTACGCCCCGTTCACTTCACCTTATTTTTGCTGAACTGAAATTATTTTTACTGAAACAAAATTATATTTGTTTAACTTAAATTATTTACTGAACTGAAATTATTTTTGCTGAACTGAAATTCTTTTTACTAATTTTGTATTATAATTTTTCTTAAAAAAACCTGAATTTTATTAAACTGAAATTATTTTTACAAAACTAAAATTAATTTTACTGAACTGAACTTATTTTTACTAAACTGAAATTATTTTTACTTAATATTTTTTTTTAAAGTGAAGTGAACAGGGCCTTAATTCATTGATTGAAAGACATGCCGCATACTTTCCTATATTGTTTAATTCTAAATGTGAGGTATGTTCTATTTCGATTTTCAATCATCTAAAGTTAATGATATTTCAAGAACTTTTGTGTGTGGTTGGCACACCGTGTGCCCAGCTGACACACACCAAGTAACCCCTAACCGACTTAATAACCCTTGGCCGGTTTAGTAACCACTGACTGAGTGAGTAATCTTTGACCGAGTAACCCCTAACCGACCAAGTAACCCTTGACCGCAACTTAGTAACCCCACATCGAGTGAGTAACCCCTATAACACTAGCAAAGTACCCCCATAATAATTGGTCACACAATGTAGCTAGCCACATATGAAAGTTTGTGATCTTCTTTATTTACACCAATCAAACTTATCTAACTTATTAATTTAATCCTATTAAAACTTATGTGAGTTATAATACAGAGTAATTTGGATAAGCTTATCATAATTTATTTTTTCCAAACATATCTTATCTAAATTTATCTAAACTTATTAGAATTAAAATAAGTAAAAATAAGGTGAACAACTCTTGAGATCGAGATAAAAACATTCGACATGCACCCAGAGCTATGAATAAAAAGGTGAACAACATATCAAATTAAAAATATTTCAAATATTTATGGAGTAACACATTTTTTTTTTTTTGGTGTAAAGAAAGCCTACTATAAAAAGGATTCGATTCCATGTGTTGGATATCACCCCATATACATAAAACACATCCTTGCTTAGAACTTTAGAACTTCAAGACATGAAATCAAATATCTGATATCGCCTTTAAAAGTTACACAAGGGGAAAAAATGAGCACCTATATTTTTAAGGCAATAAAGGACAACAATACTACCAAATTTTGGAAAGCCCTGAAATAGAGGTAAGAAATTAATTATTAAGTGGTTCTAAATATAATAATCAACGCCACCAATAACTTAACAAATCCAATAAAAATTACTCGTAGAAATTAGATAGAAGTCCCCGTATTAAGCAAGTTGTTTTTCTCTGACAAGTCAAACTTAAAAACTATCTGGGAAAAAGGAATGAAAGAGGAATAGAAGCTTTCTAATTCTAAAGAATGGAATAGAAATTTTGGATCAAGGAATCCCTAAGCCTAAACTGTTTTTTATATCATTACTTACTGTTTTCAAAGGAAAAGGGTCTTTATGGTATTTGCACTGAATCCTTTGCATTCCTATATAATAAACAATTAATTGTCATTAATTCAAGCTTGTTTCCCCAATAAGAAAAAAATTTAACAAAAAAATTTGGTTTTATTATTTCTTATGAGCCTAGAAAAGGAGATGTCAAAGCAATTTGAATTGAAAATTTCATCACAACTTGTTCCCATTTTCCTATTTTTAGTCTAGTTGGCGAGCATCTTATTCGGTTTCATACTTAATTTAATCGGTCATATATAATTATCCGAGTCTATGATACTAATTTGACTTAAAAATTAATTTGCTGATTATTGAGGATTATCGAGACTTAGCTATTTGTTTATCTTGGTCGAGCATTATTCTTTTTCACTTTATCATCATCATTAATGTAAGTATGTAACAAACGAACACCATAAGCCTTTTTCTTGCTTTTTGGTTGTGCGACTTGTGTCTAGCTATTGTGATGATATATTGACGTATCAAAGGTCATTTTGTTAACTCTAATTTTATTGAATTGGATTTTACGACTGAAAAGTATCATTCGCCCTCTTGTAACTTAAAAAATAATGTATAGTCAAAACATAATAATACGTATAGCTTTCGGGTCCAAACATATTCGGGTTCAATTCAATTGGTTTGGGTGGTTTTAAATAGGATAATTTTCAAAAAACCACCCAAAAATGTGTTGAATTTCTAACTAACCACCCAAAAAAAATTTATTTTAAAATACCACCCATTAAATTAATTTTTTGCTCAGATTCCCACCCAATTTGAAAATCCGGTGGTTTTTTAGCTTGTGGGGCCCACATAACGGCTAGTTTATGCTTTTATTTGTTTTCTTCCCCCGATTTTTCCTATAAAAGTGTATTCCTTATTCAATTTTTGCAAAAGCTTGCTTCTAATTGCAAAAATTGAATAAGGAATACACTTTTATAGGAAAAATCGGGGGAAGAAAACAAATAAAAGCATAAACTAGCCGTTATGTGGGCCCCACAAGCTAAAAAACCACCGGATTTTCAAATTGGGTGGGAATCTGAGCAAAAAATTAATTTAATGGGTGGTATTTTAAAATAATTTTTTTTTTGGTGGTTAGTTAGAAATTCAACACATTTTTGGGTGGTTTTTTGAAAATTATCCTTTTAAATATTTACTCTTGAAAATATAAATAATTGCTGATAACAAAAACCAGCAAACTGAAGAAATAGTGCTCCTGCTTCAGTAGAGCTAAGCTTATTTAAACTCTCTATTTCACTTGAGTTGAGTGTAATTAAACTCTCTTCCTCGTGCGTTGTCGTAAGTAACACATAAACACAGTTTTCAGTGAAGACTTAACCACAAACCGCGGCCGAGGGCTTCGCATTCAGAGCCCCCTTCCAGCAACCATTTCAATGGCTTTGAATGGTGTGTAAATCGTACGACACACTAATCTTTCCACAAACTTGTGCACTTCTAAGAGTTGAACAGTTTTTTGTAATAATTTCTACTTATGGCTTCACTTTAGCTCTTCCAAACAATGCTATTTCTGGTTAAAACCACTTTTCTGTCATTGAGTTGCTAATCATATTTCTATAACTAAGCACACTGAGTAGAGAAAATGGAGGAGAAACATGAGGTTGATAAGGTTGATGATGTTATTTTGCCGGGTTTTCGGTTTCACCCAACTGATGAAGAGCTTGTTGGGTTCTACCTCAAAAGGAAGATACTTCAGCAATCTTTACCTATTGAGCTTATTAAGCAAGTTGACATCTACAAATACGATCCTTGGGATCTTCCTAGTAAGTATAAACTCTATTATCTTCGGCTTATTTTGATATTGCTTGTATATTGATTTCACATACTAACCATGTATGTGTATAAATATATGTATAGAGTTGGCGTCTACTGGAGAAAAAGAGTGGTATTTCTACTGTCCAAGAGACCGGAAATACAGAAACAGCTCGAGGCCTAATAGAGTAACCTGTGCTGGTTTTTGGAAGGCGACTGGGACTGACAGGCCGATATATTCCTCTGATGGTGCTAAGTGCATAGGCTTGAAGAAGTCTCTTGTGTTCTACAGAGGCAGAGCTGCTAAAGGGATGAAGACTGATTGGATGATGCATGAGTTCCGGTTACCTTCTCTGCATGATTCTGCCCCTCCTAAGAAGCTTTTCGACAGAAGTTTTCCTGCTAATGTAAGCCCCTCCTGTCTTTTCTTTCTTGTATTGCTTCTTGCATGATGAAAAAGACTTGGTTAGCTTTCTATTATATTTTCCTTTGAACAAATCCTCTTCTACTTGAACGCCTTAATCCCATAAGTGGGGTCGGCTACATGAACCAACATGAGGACTTTCCAGGTCGCAGAACCTAACATAAGTTATAATATTTCATGAAAGGTGACCCTAAAGTTTGTAATATTTTCTGTGACTTACAGGATGCATGGGCAATCTGTCGAATATTCAAGAAGATAAACACCATGGCACAAAGAGCTATTACACACTCTTGGGTATCTCCATTAACAGAAACTACTGCAGCATGTGATATGTTCAATCAAGCTTCGAATCTTATAGGCTCTCACTTTAGTCCAGATAATATATCATGCACAACCGAAGGAGCGAATTCATCCATACAACCCTGCAACAACAATAACCTGCAGAACACTACTTCTTCCCCTGTCAGTTTCTCCACCCTTGATCAATACAAGCCGATTACTAATCCAACGGTCTCTAAAGTATCCGTGATCCCAACCTCCTTTGCAGACCTCCAAAATAACTTGATCTTCCCATCAGGTGAAGTTTCTGCCATGTTCCTGAACCTCACCCCTGCTTTCACCTCAGAAGTTGGTAAAATCTCAGATATTATAGACTTTGGTGGGTCACAACAGCTTTTTAATGGTCTTCCTATGAATTTATCACAGAATATTATTGAAGCAGATGATCAGTTAGGGTACAGGAAGAACCAAAATCAGCAGTGGAACAGCATCAGATCAATTGGTTTTCCTTTCAGTTTGCCGTCTTCTGTCTCAAACTCCGGTACTTTATCATGGGACTCAGCTCCTTGCCCTAGCGAGTTGTCAACAAGTTATTCCTCAAACAAATGCTATAGGTAGATTAGAGATGGATTTGAATGTAGGAGATCTAGTTAGTTTTTTTTAGTGTCATTTAGGTGCTTAAGTTAGATCAGCTGTAGGAGGAAGTAGTTTTTAGAGTGCAGTTTAGTTATTTAGTTAAAAGTTAAATTTTTTTGTTGTTAATTCATATGCAAAAGCTCTACCTTTCTTGTCACCAGTTTTCTATGAGGCTACCGAGTCTCAATTTTGAGCTGTAAAATTTGTGTCCAGAAAGGGAAATGACATAAGTTTCTGTTGATTGATGTTGGTGTTAGTGTGTAAAACCTCTTGAATATTAATTCGGCATGACTTATAAAATACATTCTACCATGCCATAATCCTTAACACTAACCAAAAACTATTGTAAGAATTTGAAGATTTAATAAACAGGTTAAATTCTCCACTCCTGAATTCTCATGATGGTGTTTTTTCTCATCCTCGGACAACAACTTATTTTTTAGTGTCATAACATAATAAGGTGTTCTTAGTAAAAAAAAAAAAGACAAAACAAAAAAAAATTATGCTGCAATCAAATTCTGTTTACAACACGTTGCAATCAAAGGAATGCTGGCTGTAAAATTTTCTTCAGCAGTCAACATTGTGCTGTTGTCAGAAATCTACAATAGGAGTAATTCTTGACAGTCTCTTACAACCAAAAAAATAAGGAAAAGTTTATAAAAGTTCTCCTGGATTTATGTATCTGGTTCACTATCTCTGATCTCATTCCTGAATTCATACATCAACTCATTTTTATTTTCGAATTAATCTTTATAGATTTTTTCTAGACAGAGCTATTTCTTGTCTTTCAACTACCGGTGAAATTTCTACCAAATAATTCAATTCATGCATATCCTCTACTGAGCAACTAGTACATAAACATGGTTTTACCTGTGAAATACAAAATGTTCTTAGTCCATACTATTATACTAATTAGAAGCCCTCTATACAAAATGTTTTTTTAACCATACCATAAAAGCATCACAGTAACTGCTATAAGAACTCTATCCTGGTTAAACCAGCACCGTGTAGCATAAAGTCTCTTACTGTATAAGTTCTCTTACTGTCAAGCATTGTTCCAAGAGGCGGCTCATTTTAGTTCCTGACATTTTTTTCCTGGCCACTGCTCCTGCAACAGTTTTCTCTCTCATTTTTAAGTATACGCTCTTTTCTATTTTCTGGCAAAGCACTTGCAGTCTCTATACATGTTATCAAATTAATTTTCGTATTAAACAGACAATGTGGAGTATGTGATAAAATCCTCTCATTCTAGAGCAGAATCACCTCTTGAGCAACACAGTAATATCTACAGACCCCCTCTGTCAAGTGAAAGTCCAAATGGGAATGATGAAACTATATCTACTAACGTCGTGTTGATGAAAGAACACTACTTATCCCCTCTGTTGCTGATCTAACAAAGTGGCAGTTGTGTATGCAAGTAATGCAACGTATAATTGAAGATGGACTATCCTTCATCCCTATCTTTTAAATGTCATATAGAAAATTTCTTGATGTCATGTATTGGAAGGAATACAGGGCACTCCTCTCCTGCCAGGCAAACCTTCAGGGTATCAAAATTCGATACTTTCAAGTCTGAAGGCAGCAAACCTGCAGGGAATACAAAGTGGCTTGCAGATTATTCATTGTACACAAATACTGTCCAATTTGCTGAATGGGGATTTTGAATATCTGGACAGGATGGCTGAGCTTCCCCATTATGTATATTTGGTATTGAAAACTTGCACAATCGATTTTGCAATAATAAAATGCCCTAAACAGCAGTATAAATGCTTGTGTTGCAACCTAGTCCCATTTCTTGCAAGAACATCTATCTCACACCTAAGTGTACCCAGAGAAAGTTTCACCAGATGGTGTTATTATATTTTATTTTATGTTTGTGCTCATTTGATCAATATTGTTTAATTTTATGGAGTACAATTTGAATATAGTAAAATTGATCAAATGAACCTAGAAACACCCTTGGGTGCACCCGCTGTAAGATAGATTTTGTATGTTTTTGCTGTTTTGCATATCACCCTACAACGCCTTCTAACACATCATTAAGGGAACGCAAAATCAGTACAGTTACAGGATCAACTATAGCAGTTTTTTTTGGTATTTGATGTACATTATCAAGTCTTATACAATCTATCATGCATTCCAAAATTTCTGCATGCATTTATGCAAAGATGCAAAAAACTATACATCTTTTACTTAATTTCCTATCAACTCTTTTATTCATATTCTGTATTCCAAAGGTATACTAAAAAAGAACCTCTTTTTATTCACATTCTAACTATACAAAAATCTCTATATATCTAACTTGGCAACATCCTTATTTTTACCACTTAATATATCATTGGTTTTACCACTATTAACAAGGAAACAGCAAAACTACTGAGGTATCTACGTGCAATTTTCTGTCAACCAAGCGAATCTTGTTAAGCTTATCGCTGCACCAAACTAATTGCTCTGTAGTTATTCTTGGCATGTTCAATACCCTTGAAACGAGTCTCAAATCAACCTGCGAAAAGAAATATAAAACATGGTCTGAACCTTCTTCCTGCTGATGCTTCTGGATTTTTTTCAGTACACACTTCCCGCTCCTTACTAGATCTTTGAGCTTCTTTTCTTTCTGCAAAAATAATCCAAGTTCAACGACAAACATTTAGAACACGCAACTAACAGTGTTAAGTGATTAAATTAGGTACAGCTAAGAAAGTCGACAACCTTTTGAAGACTGGACTGAATTTCATCTAAGAGACTGGCATCTGCAGGATTTTGGAGTTCAACATTGGAGTTTTTTCGACATTTTAACAGACCTATGTAGGTCGTGTCTTTATCAGATTTGATAAACCGCCATAATACACGAATTGAATCCTCAATGACCTCAACAAGCTGTAAACTTGTTACGGCATCTTTGCTGCTGACGTATTTTTTTTCTTTCTTTCTACTTGCATTATCATCTGCAAATAGCCAAAAGCAGAAGTCATTTCAGTGTATCAACTAGTCAATATAAAACAAAGTTGGCAATTCATCAGTCCTACTGTAGTTGGAATTAGTCTTGTTCTATATCCTGTTAGACATGTTTATTATTTACTTGTTTTCGATTAGGAATTTGTTTAAGTACTGTTGCTTTATGAGCTACACTCGAAAAAAAGGCCAGTCTGACCTCGAATGAGAGGAACTTGGAGAAGATTTCGTTGAACACATCGATTTTTGACATAATTCTGCACCCTTGGACCTTGAAAACGCTCATCCTCTAAAAATCTTGTCAGAAGAACTTGGAATGTCTGAAATTTATCAGCAACTTCATTGTACCGGTGTATACCATGTGGATCGGTCTCCCATAAATCCAATGCCTTACCATACTGCCATCGTAGGAACTCCCATGACAGGCACATCTGTCCTACATACACCATCTCCAAGTCGCTCTCTAGTTCTCTGCTGAATTTCTTCATAACTGGCTGGTTAATTTCTGTTGATATTTTCGGCTTACAAGGCCAGCAGTCAAGGGAAACAATTGTTGCCAATGCCGGGGTTGAAATTCTGTTCTTCGAAATTGATTTAAGTGGGTCTTTCAGCCGAAGAAATCCTGATATTTTCCATTGAGATAATTAATCATATGAACATTAAAAAAAATATGTGGTCCAATGGACTTTATTAATCATTCAATTGTTGTTTGAAAAGGAAGCCATTATTGGAATTATGATCATGTACTTTGATCAAACTTTTCTCAAAAGTTGATAAGATAAAGTAAGTTAATTATATATTAAGTACAAGTATATTATATGGCTTAGCACTTACTGAACTCATCTACCAGATAGATTTTCTCAATCAAGTTAAATTCATATGCAGTAGGTTTCATGTCGAAATCAAGCATCTGTACAGAAATACACAGCTAATGCAGTTATTTCCGAATATGATATAAACCATGAAAGATATACATAAGCATCACTTTTCTAGCAAAATTCAACTCAAGCAAGAAATGAGATGACAACAATAGGTTGGTAAACTTTCATAGACGGATAATTTCTCCACATCACCCAAATATTCTTCACATTCAAATACCGCGTAATATCTCAGGTGTATTTCATACTCAGCAGACAATTCAACTTGCTTAATCAACAAAAACTTCAAATTTAAGTAATATTAAATAAGGTAAAGTGTGACATTCAATCAGTTTCTTGATCACATATGGTAATATTTCACAAACATTGAGAAAATGATATCTAGAAAGTTTCCTTCTTAGAATACTCTATTTTTTGTCTGTAAGTTTGAAAAAGGCCAAAATAGAGCTTCTAAGAAGAGCTGAGTACTCGAAGGGGCAACCTTAAAAATGCTTAAATTCATGCTTGTGTTGATGAAAGTATATAAAATATTGAAAGTGGTATTTAACAAGTAATACTTAGTACATTAATTGACAAATAAAATTCTTAGTGATAAACAAATAATATATTAACTTACCAATTGCATACATCTTTTGGTAGTTAAGGATATCCAATTTCCTCATCCTTTCTTTGTAGCTCTTGTAAAACTTGTTTAATTCATCCAATGTACCGCCTGGTTTATACTTCCCTTCAATCTTCCACGGCTTTAAATCATCCATGATTTTCGGGGACTCAGATTCTTCTAAGATAGTTGGAAGACCTATAGCTCGAACTTTCTTAATCTCCATTTTTAACTGTTCTACTAAATCTTGATGCTCCCATTGTGTTTCAAGCCCATTTTGCTCATCAGAATCTGAAGATAATTGTTCTCCTGAACTTTGTTTTTCTTCCTCTTGTTTGGTTTCTGGTTCAGTTTCCATGTTTGCTTGATGCTCTTTGTTGGAATCACCATTATCATCACCTTCTAAATTGGACTCTAATTTCTTGAGCTCGTTTAGTATATCATCATCCTCATCATCGAAATCATCAGCTTCATACCCTTTGCTCAAATTTTGAAACTCTAAATCTTCTTGTTCTAAGGCTTCCTTAGTTAAATTAACCTCATTCCAACCAAATTCCGTCGAAGTATCAACCTCAAATGCCCTCTCGAAATCAATATCAGACAAAAATTCATCACTAAAAGAATCAATAAACGAACTCCTAAAGCTAGACTCACTGCTCAAATCCGACACTAGAGACTCATCATCACTAGGAAGGTGACTGCCATTTCTCATGATATCTTCATCATTCGTCAAATTATTCACCAAGGACTTAGCATCACTAGGAACCTCACTACCATTTTTCATGATATCTTCATCATTCATCGAATCATTTACTAAGGACTTAGCATCACCTCTACCATTTCTCATGATATCTTCATCATTCTTCGAACCATTCACTAAGGACTTAGCATCACTAGGAACCTCAGTACCATTTATCATGATATCTTCATCATTCGTCGAATCATTCACCAAGGACTTAGCATCACTAGGAAGATGACTGCCACTTCTCATGATATCTTCATCATTCCACAAATCATTCACCAAGGACTTAGCATCACTAGGAACCTCACTACCATTTTTCACAACATTCATCTTATTCGTCGAATCATTTACCATTTCACACAATTCTTCACCATTTTCAATTTTCATTTCATTTAAAATATTTTCCATAACATTTTCAACATGAAGAAATTCATCAAATATAATCCCATTTTTCTCACTACCAAAAACCTCACTTTCTGAACCAATTCCGCGCTTGGAAATCTCTTCAACATGTAAGAATTCATGGGAAGCTTTCACAGTCGAATCGATTTCAGATTCCACACAATCATCTTTAGACTCAACGTGATGAACAACATTTTCATCTGAATTTTCACATAATTTTGAGTAACTTGTAGATTGAGCATCATTATTATTAATATCATTTTTTTGAAGAAATTCTTCAAAAGTTGGAAAACGAAACCTGAGAACTGGCTCTGATTCCTCCTCAATTTTACTTTCAACCTCAATTTTGTCATTAGTTTGATGTTCTTCTTGTGGTTGAATCAACTTAAAATTCGAATCCTTTTGATGATTTATTAATCTGCAACAAAAAAAAAGTATAAAATTTAAATCATCATATAATCAAAATTGCAATCAATTATATAAAACAAAGCACAGGAAAATTACCTAAAAATACATTTCCTTGTCATACCAAATAGAGTAAAGAAAGACACCCATAAAATCCTGATTAATAAAATCATTTTTCTGAAAAGAAAAATGAATTGGGATTTAGGAAAATACAACTTTTGAACACCCATCATTACAAAATTCAATCTAAAAAACAGAAAATAGAAGGGGAAAAAACAGGGGAAAAACAGAGGTAAAAAACAGGGGAAAGTTTTATAATTGTTCCTCTGAATTTTTCTTTATACCCAAATAAGATTTTGACTTTGATGAAAAAAGGGTATAAATGTTGGTGAGAAAAACAAGGAAATTAAAAAGGGGTTGAAGAATCAGAAATTTGACCTAATAAAAAGAGAGAAAAAAAAAAGGGGGGAGAAAAGAACTTGTCAGCAAACAGAGAGAGTAAGAGGAGGTATTCTGCAGTATGACAGGGTTTAAGAGGAAAATAAGGGATAATTTGTTTGTTTGTTAGATTGAAGGAAGAATGAAGAAAGGTATTGTTGTTGAAGGGTCCATTTTCTGTGAGTAAGAGTTAGGAAGGAGTAGAAGAAGCAGTCTTCTGAAGCTGAGTAGCCAACTACACAAAATACAAGGAATTTTTTTGTGATTCACATTTATACTCATTGCCGACGTGGTCTTGTGTGCCAAAGACCGAGTGTATTCCCTCCGATCCTATAAATAATAAAAATATTTATAATAGTTCCCATAAATATATATATATATATATATATATATATATATATATATATATATATATATATATATATATATATATATATATATATATATAGAGTATGGATCATGTGAAAACAAATGTTAGGGTGAAAACTGAAAACGATTCATCCTAGCCGTAGATTATAATCTAGCGGATGACATCTAACGTTTATATACTAATTTTCTCTCTCCTCCCACGAAACAATTTCTCTCTCCTCCGTTATTTTCTTCCTCCTCTCCCTCCTCTCTCCTGCTTTCTCTCTCCTAATTTCTCGACATTTTTTTCCCCAATTTTCACGCTACTTTTTTCAAATTCAGCTTCAATTACTTTGATTTCAGCAATTTTTCAGCTCTACGATCTATTATCAGGTGAGTTCTTTGTGTTAATTTCGCTATTTTTTGCATGATTTGAGGTTTTAAGGTTTTTGAAATTTTCATCAATTTTGTTCGATTTTGTTTGATTTTGCGATTTTCTGTTCGATTTTGTTCAATTTAGTTCGATTTCCTGTTTTACTAATCGATTAACTTTAGTTTCTTCCTTAATTTCATTGATTTGTTCGGTTCAGTTGAGTTTTTCCACCATTGTTAACTAATTTGAAGTTCAACTTGTTGATTTGATTGATTTTTGCAGTGGAAGAAGAAGCGTATGAGGAGATTGAAGAGGAAGCACCGATAGATGAGACGGAGATCTAAGTAGAAGAAGATCTACAGCTTTCACGATTTTTCACTCGCATTGAGAATTAGCTTTCTGATATTTGTGACGGTATTTTGAAGCTTCTGGACATTAAGCTTATTCCTCCTGCTAGTAGTGGTGATTCTAAGGTCTTTTATTTGAAGATGATGGGAGATTATCATAGGTATTTGCGGCTGAGTTTAAGACTGGTGCTGAGAGGAAAGAAGCCGCTGAGAGTATTCTCACAGCCTACAAGGTTGCTCAGGTTTAATTAATTTTTTCCTTTTTTTTGTTTGGTAGATCTGTTAATTAGGGTTTGGATTTGGTTTTTGTTTGTGATTTTTGCGTTGATTTGCTATGGTATTTGCATTTTGTTGGAATCATTGAGGAATATTCAAGAATTTGATAAGCTCTTTATGAGTTTCTACTTCAAGAACAACTCATCTTCTGTGAGTGGCTCTTGTTTTACCATCTTTATAGGCTCCTGGTGCTTCTGTTGTTGATTACAGGAGTTATTATCGCATTCCTCTTGGACATCTGCAGTGTAAAATGTGAAGGATTAGTATCTATTTCTTTTTCGTTAAAACATATAAATTAGTTTTGAAAATCTGTTTTTCTTGATCAGATATTAGGAAGATAATATTTGATGAACTATAGGATGTTTGATAAGCTTGTTTGTTTCTTTCTTTAACCAAGAGCATTGATGGTTGTTCTTGCAATTGTGGTTTAAATGGTGTTTGAACATGGTAATATATATGTGTAAGAATCAAATGGAAAAAAGAATATGGACAAGAAATGAATAGATTTGTTTGGATCAGAAACTTGTAGAGGATACATATCCTCTAGTCTCTGATGGTATATTCTTTTATTGGGGAATTGGAGTCTTTTTTTAAGAATTGCTCTTGAAAATTTTAGGCATGTAATTGCTTACCTTTTTCTGTTATCTGATGCATGATTTGTACTTCACCAGGTATCAATTTTTCCCTTTGATCTTCAATAACTGTTGATACTTTATTATCATCCTGAAACATGCAGGGTAAAGGACATGTTAGTTAAATGGTAGAAGTGTGTCTTTAGAAATTTATTTCTAGAACTCGAGTATGCTAGTTTGCGTTATTGCGAGCTCTATCATTCCTGATCTTACCTTGTCAGCTGGAGTTAGTGTAGTAACCTTCTTCAGCCTTTGTGAAGATTTATCTTTGATTGTATGATTTTTGGTGCCTGCCTGTTCAATATCTACATTTTGTCGGGATTCCTCATATACAGGTGGCTTGCTCGTATCATGATTTCCTGGTATGCTTTCATTTGCCTCTGCTTCTGTCCTTAAAACGTTGATCTTGTCAAGCTTGTTTTGCTTTAGTCTGTATGAAGTCTGTATGATGTTGGTCTGTGATGTTGGTATGCTTTTATTGGCTGTTTTGGCATGTTGAAAGCCTATTAGCTCAATTGGTCGAGCACCGTGTAATCACGGGATGTAGGTTCGAATCCTACATGGACTTTTTTAATACTTATTTTTATATTTATTGACCTCTGGGTAAATGGTGTCAAATTGATATAATTACCCGAAGTTCATATATAGTTACCTTATTTTCGATATAATGACCTTAGAATTATGGAAATGCTTTAAATTTTGTTTCAGTCACCTTATTTTTATATATAGTGATCTTTATTTTTGTATATAGTGACCTTTATGTAAATGGTGTCAAAAACTCAGTCGATATAGTTACTTTATTTTTGTATATAGTGACCTTTATGTAAATGCTGTAAAAATTGTTATAGTTATCCTATTTTTGTATACAGTGACCTCTATGTAAATATGGTCAAAATTGAAATAGTTACCCTATTTTTGTATATAGTGACCTTAATGTAAATATTGTAAAAATTGATATAGCTACCCTATTTTTGTATATAGTTACGTTATTTTTATATATAGTGACTCTATGTAAATATTGTCAATTTAGATGAAGTTACCTTATTTTAAGCATGTAGTGACCTTTTAAACGGTTGAATTGATTATATGTAAGGTTGGAATGATCTTAGGGCTTTAGAACCGTCTGATCTTTTGTGCTAGTAATGAATGGCTAAGATTGCTTGTTTTTAGTTTTCACCATAAGCTCTGTTTTTAGCGGAACCTCCCCGTATATATATATATATATATATATATATATATATATATATATATATATATATATATATATATATATATATATATATATATATATATATATATATATATATATATATATAATAGTTAAATATTATTCCTTTTGTTTTATAACGTTACTCACATATATTATTTTGAGTGTTCTAAAAAGATCTACTCATATTGAATATTTTTCATTCTAAACTTAATTATTTTGGAAATAATTGGTTGTGGATTGATCGTATGACACTAAATAAGAAATATTTACCTTGAATTATGCAATTATGGCTTATGATTAATTATGACGTATGATTTCCAAAAAAATTAAAAAACACTTAAATAAGGTAAACGAATTATGAATTATTTTGTACTTTAATGTTAGATTCTTAATATTCTTCTTTTCTTATATTTATGTGATTGATTTCATATATGTGACTAATGTTATGAAACGGATTGAGTAATAAATAATGGGTAATGTTTTACATGGGCTATGTATTAGCATTAAAAACACTCTTGAAAATTGTATAAAATTAGTAATTTATGACAACAACACACGTTGATCAGTGTAATTAGCGTGATTTTTATCATAATTTTCTAAATTTAAAAAAATTTCAAGAATGTTTTAATTCTTATATGTAGCCCCTAAGGGTTATGTATAACATTTTTCATAAATTATTAATTGAGACAAATTACAAATTTAATACGGAGTTGATTTAATATGACTATTTGACTACATATCGGGATAATTTTAAGGGTTATCTCAACTTAGTAATAGTGTCAAGATTCCAAATATAAGGGATCAGAGATGGTATATACTACCTCCGTTTCAGTAAATTTTTTATCTTAGCATTTACAAGCTACCTCACTTGTTTTTTCATTCTATCTTACTCTCTCTCCTCAAACGTGTCAACTAAATAGATTCGGATGAAGTAATAAGGTGTAGGTTTGAATTCTCAATTAAAAAATTAAATTTTACTTGTTTATTATATATTGATTGGCCCGGTCGGTCGGTGTATGAAGAGTTTGGAAGTTTTGATACATGTCTACGTGTGTATGAGTGTGTTTCTTCAAATGATTTTATTCCCATTTTTTATTTTTGAAAATTATTATTTTGTAAGAAGTATATTATAATTGGAGGGTGAAGTTCATCTACTGTTATAGAATTATATCCAATTATCCGAATTAGATAAATTAAGTTAGCATTCCATTTAGCATCGAACTAATTATTTGAAATCCAAAATAAATTAAGCATAATAGAACAAAACGCATAAATAGTAATCCAAATCAGTAGATGTCAACTAACTTGGTTGAAGCGTATAATAGTCTTAAGTCGCGAAATAAAATCTCACCTATATCCCTGTCTTATGAAGCTCTGTCTACTGATTAAACCAAAAAACAGTCATATAAATTCTATTTCGGATTGTTTTTTACTTGAATAAAATTGAAAACTTTCTAATTTAGTTGACTTTATATCCAACCTAAAAGGTGTCCACCAACAAGATTATAATCTAAAATAAAAACATGATCCAAATTCCCAAGTGGCCCATAATTCTATTTGATTATGGAGTATTTATATCTTTTGAGAAAACCTAATAAATGGAATAAAATTTTGAAAAAAAAAATAATAATAATTTTGTATACAATTAGCTTAAAAATATTCAACCATTTGAACTAAGGCCTATTAATATTTACTGAACTGATTGGAGCTGAATTGAACTGAACTGAACTGATTGGAGTTGAACTAAACTGATGTGAGCTTAAATGAATATTTTATGTGAGAGGGAAATTATAAATTGAACTGAAGTAAACTGAAATTAAGTAAATGTGAACAAGCCCTAAGAGTAGGTTTTTTTTTTTAGAAAATAAATTTTTTAGTTCAAATGACCTACAACCTGCCCAAAAAGTTATCTTAATTTTTTTCTTCCAAAATTTCCCCCTCCCCCCAATTCAGCCACCAAATGACCACCCTCGACCCTAAGCCACCCATCCATAAAATTCGCCGATGAGCGAGGATGGGAGAGATTAGAAACGGGTCAAGGTGGGGGGGGGGGGGAGAGGTGGGGGAGTTAGTTATTGGTGGAGAAACAGAGGAGCA